TACATCAACATGGATGGGACTGGAGGAGATTATGCTAAGTGAAATAAGTCAAGTGGAGAAAGTCAATTATCATACGGTTTCACTTATTTGTGGAACATAAGGAATAGCATGGAGGACATTAGGAGAAGGAAGGAAAAAATGATGGGGGGCGGAAATTGGAGGGAGAGATGAACCATGAGAGACTTTGGACTCTGAGAAACAAACAGGGTTTTAGAGGGGAGGTGGGAGGGGGCATGGGTTAGCCCGGTGATGGGTATTAAGGAGGGCACGTACTGCATGGAGCCCTGGGTGTTATATGAAAACAATGGATCGTGGATCATTACATCAAAAACTAATGATGTATTGTATGGTGACTAACATAACATAATAAAATTTAAAAAAAAAAATAAAAAATAACTATTCTAGATGAATGACATTGGCAAACATGGTTTGTAAAGGTTAGAGATGTTTCCTGACTGCAGAACTTCTGGGAGCCCTCTCCTGGCTAATGGGCACCTTGAGACCCCGCGGGAGAGGGCACCTGCAACCTCCCAGATGGGTTTGAACATGGAAGCTCACGGGGCCACTGAAAGCCCAGCTGTCCCACAGCATAAACTTTGAGGAAACTCCAGCCTGGAGATTTGGGAGGTTTGCATTCTCTGCTCTGTCTTCCTGCACTTTTAATTCTCAGCTAGGAAACCAGAGCGAGTGGTAGGTGGGTGAACATTTTGCCTCCCTGGTGCCACTCCTGCTTTTTTCAGACTCACCATTTCGGTGAAAAGAAAGGGACCTGAAGAGAGGTGGAGAGAGGGAAGGAAAAGCAAGGGTGACAATCAAAACTGGACTGAAAATAGTTTTGCTGAATCAACTTATCAAGATGTTTCATCAAGTCAGTGCAACTGAATTCAACAAAATTTAAAAAGCTATCACCCAAAGTAATCCTGATGGCAAAAGGAAAATACAGACAGACATAAGCCAAGGCCAGGGGCAGAGGTCCTGAATTTTCTGTTATGTCTGTCCTCGGGCTTCACGTTACAGCTGTTCTTTGTTCTAATTTTAAATAAAGTCAGCATACATCCAAATAGTTAGGAGGGAGGAACTTTACACTGTTTCTAGTATTTTTAGTGCAGAGTCTTCTGAAATGATTTGCTATTCTTAAGACAAATATTTCTCGTGACCCCAGAATTCCTTGGATGGAAAAAGCTGAAGAGAAACCCTGACATTTGTGGTAAATAGCTAGAGGGAATTTTTTTTCCTTTTTTTTTTCTTTTCAGTTACAGCTTTACAGGGATCAGTTTAAGAATCACATTACACACATGGTAGAAAACAACAGACAGAGTCACAAATATTTCACCGGATATGAAGGAGCACACAATTCCAGAAATGGCCTCTAGATGTTGGATGCCCATTTGTTTGAATACCAACATTTATTGAGTGATTACTCTGGATGATGTCCACTCTGTCTGCTTTATGGGCAGTTATGCACTTAACCCTCAGCATCATCTCCATTTGATGGAGGAAGACTAGGAAACACAGAGATGTTAAGTAACTTGCCCAAGGTCACACAGCTTGTAAATATTAGTCCCAGAATTCTGTAATAGGTTAAACTGTGTTCCCCTAAAATTCATACATTGAAGTCCTAACCCCCAGTACCTTAGAATATGACCTTGTTCGGAAATAGGGTCATGGCAGATACAGTTAACATGAAGTCAAACTGGAGTGTGGTTCTTACAAAAAGGACTTCATGTGAAGAGAGACACACCCTAGGAAGAACACAGTGGAGGGTTTGTAGTTATGCTCCCACAAGCCAAGGAACTACCAGAAGCTAGAACAGGTGCTTCCCTAGCACCTTCAGAGAGAGAATGGCTCTGCCAATACCTTAATCTCAGAATTATAAGATAATACATTTTTGTTGTTTAAGCCACTTGATGGTCCTTTGTTATAGCAGCCCTGATAAACCAATACAAATTCCCACCCAGATTCACCTCGTTTCAAAGCCCAAGCATTAAACCAATATCCCCTACTGCCTCTTCCGTCTCCAACATTTAGCGATCATATCTAAGGTAGACTCTAATATTTGGATGGCACTTAGAGGCTATCTAATCTAGCTGCCCACTGCCATATTTATATCAAGGGGACAGAACAAATATGGACCTCCATATAGGGAGCTATTTCCCTGTCACAGCTATCATGGGGCCCGGTTCTATCCTCTGGAAACACACACACACACACACACACACACACACACACACACTCATCATCCATGTGTTAGCCCTACAAACACTTAAAATCTCTATCATGCTGTCAAGTCTTCTCAGTTAAGCATTGTTATCTCTTCACCCATTCTTCATATGGCATGGTTAATGAGCCTTCTCCACCCCCAACCCTGAGGCAGTAGAACATAATTATGTTACAGCAAGAAATCAGAACTACAATTGCCAGGAAAGTCGACAGTGAGTTGGGAAGAGTTAATCAGTCAAATTACACTTTCTTGTCAGTCACTGGTGAGTGGTGAGCCTCTGAACCACTCCTTCTCCAGATTTGCTCGAGTCTACTTCTGAGATATAAATTTGTAGTAGAGGTAAAATACCCAGGGTCTCCAAGAAAGGCTAAAATTTTGATTTAGAGTCAGCGGCAGCATCCATCTGGAGAGTGTATCTATGATTGTCCACTCGTGAGGCTTTAGGGGAGGCATCAGGTGACCTGTCCTCATGAAGGGTGCATGGACCCAAGATGAAATTTCACAACTGAAAGCCACCAGGGAATCCTAAGCTACAGGATTTGTATTTCTGTGAAATACAAACCTTTTCTCTTGCAATTTATTTTTAAAATATAGATGAACTCACATGAAAAGGTGCCATGAACAAATTACACAAGAGAAAAGGTAGAGAGAAAACTAGTAGAAAAATGTTTGTTTCTCCTAGTAATCAAAGAAATAAAAATTAAAGCAATCTTGAGGTACACCGCCTAGATTAAAAAAAAAAAAACACCTTTATTAGGTGTCTGTTGACATAGTAATTGGAAAACTGGAAAATATTCAGCCTCAGGATGGTCTACCAAATCACAATTTGAATCAAGAGGGGCCTAGGTGTTTCAGCTGTCTGTCCTCAGACCTTTGAAAGTTTTGGGGAAGAGTCAGAGATATGGACACATGCTAGAAATGCTGAGAGACTTGGGAAAAAACAGAGATTTCCTGTGTTTGAGTCAAAAATAGTGCAGACTTACTTTGAGGAAATGAGTTTTGATCTTCCCACAGTGTTTGCCCATCTGCTCCCTGATGGGGGAATAGAGCAGGTCTTTGGAGGCAATGCGGGCATATGCCACTTTCTTGTTGTTGCTAAGCATCCAGATGAAGACGTCGGGGATGGTGTGCTGTGGCTGTGGGAATGGAGGGGAATGGCTTTGGTGCTTAACAGGTACCCTTCCAGAGTTCTCCTATCCTGAAAGAGTCCCCCTCTGTAAAACAAATTCTGTGACTTAAACCATCTAGCCACTTAAACATCTATGCAAGCAAGCAAGTTAAGTGTAGCTTCTTTGAGAAAACCTATGTCATGACTTACAAGTACATGTAAACCCTATATGCCCAACTGTGCTCTGGTGCTTTAAGGATATGCAAGTTGGACCCATGATTTGGCATCTCTGGTGGTCTACGTATCTCCGTCTAAGGAAACAAACATCTTCCCCTTTGTTTTTGCTTTTTTTGTAATCATGTAATAATGATTCATCCTCAATCATTGGTCCCCCTAAAAGCCAGGTAACATTCCAGAATATTCAAATGAAAAAGCAAAAACAAAAATCCATGAAGGAGAAACTCGACTAGATTGCACATAAAATTCTACTTTAAAATTGAGCTAATCAAGACATGAATCGCAGAATTCCCTGCCAAGAGGCCCATTATGCTGTGAGTGTTTGAAATGCACATTTCTGAGCCAACATAGCTACCAAATCAAAAGGGAGGTACACTGGCATAAACTATGCTTTGGCTTTCTTAGGCTCTGTGTTCTGTCTTTCTAACCCTATAATCGTCTGGTGTCATTTGTTCCCAAAGAGGGCATCCCCTCTCTCTTGATATGGAAACAGAAGCATCAGTAAGGAGGTTTTCCTAGCCAGAGGGTCAGTCAGTCCACAGACCTGAAGTCCTGATGCTTGGTTTAAACCTTCTGGGTGCTTAATAAAATTCCTGCATTTACTAACCTAACTTCCTGTCTCACTGCTTATTTTGTCCCCAGGGAATGACAGATTTGCAACAAGAAATACAACTTTTGAGATTGACAGAAGGAGTAGGGCTGTACCTCTCCTTGAAATCTTCCCACACAAAACCTGGTATCTGACCAAAGCAAATACGAGGAGCTTTTTAGATCATTCTAGAAGTCACAAAAGATTTCAACTTTAAAATGAGATGCTGTTTTGACTTTTGCTGGATATGAGTTTAAATTCTCTTACAGTTGAAAACTTACCGAAGGTCCCATACTTCCTTTGACTTGTCTTGATTCCATTAAGGAACATGCTTCTTATTTCTGCTGAATACTCAGGCTTCATTTAAAAATCAATGAGGCTGTACATTTTTGGCTTGATTTAAAAATCTCTGTTCTCGCCCCTAAACTAAATTGTGCCTGCTCAGCTCAGCAGGGCTTGGAAGAAAGCACTTGTCTCCATCTTGCATCCTCATCAAACATCCAAACCTCACTAGGAATACAATTGGTCTAATCTCCCAAAGGAAGTTTGCCTTTAGAGTTATTACCTCATCGACGAGGAAGCGGATTTTTTCCACAAAGTTTTCTGCTTCATGGATCATTTCATCAAGAGAGAACTTTTTCTTCTGCTGCTGAATGATCCCCTTGGCCTCCCCGGCCATTGCTTCCTGAAACGAGACAAGAGTGAGTGTAGATCTTTCTAGAAATCTGGACAACAAGTACTATCCTGTTGCTGGAGAATCCTGAAGGTGCTTGTAAGTTCCACACTGAGCCACTCATGAGGCTGGTTCAGGGCCTGCCAGTGTGCATGCTGCCCATTTAATAAAAATTTCATAGGCATATGGAGGCAGCGAATATCATCTCACCTTTGTTTGACAGATGAGAAGTCAAGGCCCAGAGAAGCCAGAGGTCTGTCAAGGTCCCAAAACTCTATTAGCCAGGACCCAAATCCAGGCCCTCTCAGAAAAAAGTAACTAAAATGCATTGAGTTCTTACTCTGTGCCAGGCTGTGGAATTAGTCCTCATTGCTCCTCACAGCAGCTTTACAGGGTGGGTACCATAGCCGAGGAGAGAGAGTAGTACTGGACAGAGAGGCCGAGCCGGAGCGGAGCCCCAGTGGAGTCCAGAACCCACATCCTTCGTCATAGCTCTCACTACCTCTTCTAGAGGCTTGGGGGTTGCTTCCAGACCGAACCAGCATTCAGCCACATTTTTGTGCTCAGGAAACCCCCAAAACACTCTCCAGTGATTTCTGAGACACTGCATAAGTGGGCCTGGCCTATTCTCTGTTTCATCTTGTATTGCTTCTTACGCTGGGCCGCCGGCACACGGATCCCCAAGGGGGTCCAAAATACGCCACGCTGTCCATCCTCAAGACTAGTGTGTGGGGGCTTTCCTCTTGCTCAAATGTCCTTCTTGGACTCTGCATGGCTCGTTTCTTCTGAAGCCTCAGCTTAAACATCACCACTGCCTCATGTCCCCCACATTCTCCTGATCACCGTGGCCTTACAAAGTTTCCTTCATAATCATAACCTATAATCATTTTTGTTTATTTGTTGTTTACCTTTCTATCTTCTGTCTACTCCACTAGAATATAAACTTCCACTGGTCAGGGACCTCCTCTGGCTTGTTCTTACTTTGTTCTTACTTATTCTCAGTGTCTGGCAGAGTTCCTGGCACACAGCAGGTGTTAAATAAATGTTTGTGGAATGAATAAGCCAGTCAATCAATAAATTTCTCAGGGGCAAGTACCAAGTCCTTACAGCTCTGTGTTCCCAGCACCTAGCACGGGGCCTGGCCCATGGAAAGCCTTATGTTCATGCTGACAAGGGGCACTGAATACCTGCTACGGACCAGGCACTATCCTAGGAGCCAAGGCCTAGGACAGGGGAAGAAGACACAGGCTTCCTCTCCCTGAGACTCTGACGGTTTGGTGAGCTGAAAGCAATATATGTGCAAAATATCAGGGGACCAGAGAGAGACAGAGCTAGGTTTTATAGATGATATGACATTTGAGCTGGGTCATATGGTTTCACTCATGTGTGGAACATAAGGAATAGTGCAGAGGACAATAGGGGTGCGGGGGGGAACTGAATGGGAAGAAATCAGAGAGGGAGACAAACCATATGAGACTGTTGACTCCGGGAAACAAACTGAGGGTTGCGGAAAGGGAGGTGGGTGGGGGGATGGGGTAACTGGGTGATGGGCATCAAGGAGGGCACGTGATGTCATGAGCACTGGGTGATATACTCAACTAATCAATCATTGAACATTATATCAAAAACTAATGATGTACCATACCTTGGCTAATTGAGTTTGAAAAATAAAATAAAATAAATAAAATCTTAAAAGAGAAGAAGAAGATGAAAAAGGACAGTCCAGACAAAGGAACCAATTGCAGCTGCAGGGAATGTAGGACTGACAGGTGTCAGCGATTTTTGAAGCAATGGCAATTTAATCGGGTTTGTGTTTTAGAAAGACCATTCTGGTTGTGGTACGGAAGATGGACTGAAGAAAGCCTACTGCAATAGACTGGGCCTAGTGGGTGCTAAGGAAGTCATTTTAGGCAGCGATTCTGCAGATGAAGAAGTGAAGCATGTTCCAGAGTCTTTAAGGGGAGGAATCAATGGGCCTACAGTCAAATTGATTGTCGAGGGTTAGGAATAAAGATTCAAAGTTGAGTCCAGCCTCCTGGTTGGAGCAACAAGTGTAGCTGGTGGTGCTAATACAGGATGTAGGACAAGGTTAGACTGGAAGCTGATGGGTTGAGCTGGAGGTGCTGTGAGACGAGCAGGTTGTGTGTCCCCTAGGAAGGTGGAACTAGAGGTCCAGAGATGAGGAGGGGGAGGCGGGCCACTACAAGATATCAAACTCATGGACTCGTTCAGGCCAAGGACTATTGGATGATAAGAAGAAAACAGAGCTCTGTGGGCAATATGTGTAGAAGATGGATGTTGCCGAGACAGGGAAGAGCAGTCAGAGGTGCTAAAGAAGAAATGGGGTAGGAGGAAGATCTTCTATATAGCGAAAATCTGGCCTCCCTTGGAGTCCAGAGGAGGAGTATACAAACCTTTGTTTATTATTCTGGAAAGAAAGGTAAACCAGTTTAGAGACTTGGGTTTTAGTGTATAGACTACGATTAATTAGCTGTGACCTTTAAAAAATCATTTAATCTCTCTGGGACCCACTCACATCTTATAAATGTCCCTCACCAGTCAAACACTGAGTAATTTTTCTTTGCAGGATTATCATGGCCTTGTTCAAAACGTCCTTTGGTACCACTGCTGGAACTGAAGTTTCGAGGTGAGATAATCCAGGGTCTGACTTGGTCTGGCATTTCTCAGCCATCACTCATGCGACAGGGACTGAGGATCTGTGAGGCATGCAGTGTTACGGACACAGCGCTCCCGCCCCGTCGTCAAGAAGGCTTACAACTCTTCACACAATTCTTAATGGAAGGGAACCAAAGAGGGCAAGAACAGGTTTTTTTTTTGGCGGGGGGGTTTCCTCCATTTGTGAGACAAAAGGTCAAGTCAAACAGCCTCTGACAAAATACAGATGTCAAGAAAATAGGCAAGGGAGAAATCCATCAGAATAGGATGTAGGACTGGTGGGCTTCTAAATCATTCTTATAAACGGTCAATAAATGCTAGTTCCTTTCCAACTTATGCACTTCTCACGCATGCTTCTACATCACGCAAACGTATAACCTTTAGAACCTTATCCTCATCTGGTCTATGACCTATGCCTCATCTGTGAGGTTTATTTTTAAAGCACATGTTTTAATTCTGTTCAAAGTATAAATAGATTTTCACATACCAGCTCCTGCCAACAGAGCGTAAGTCGTTTCTTATCTAAGGTGGTTTGGTTCAACACCTTGGGTTTCTTCTCTGCTTCAGAGATAAAGACACTATAAGAGAAGAATAACAATTTTGAAACCTACTTAGTGAAAATCCATTTATGTAGTTCCAGAGATTTGCAAAAATACTTTCTGCAATACAATGGGAAAGTTGATGAAGCCACAGACCCAAGATTTCTCGTTTAGAATTAAGCAGTGGTGTGCTAACTTTTCTAAGAGACAAAATGAGGATTGGAAATGATGCCCAGACCCCACATTAGTTTGGGGGAATAGATGCTTGTTTTCCTACTTCCTTTCATGTATATATCCATTATGATCGCTAGCCAAGGTCACAACAAACACTAATTAATGCCGTTTTCCATCATCTTACACATTTAACACATACCAAGAGTTTCCTGAAAAGTTGTATGTAAAAAATATTTTAGACTCAATACTGGGATATGTCCTCACATGTTAAAAACTATACAAGAGACCTAGTAGTAACATTTTGAGGGATGATGTTAAAAACGCGCTCAATAAAATGGTAGAGGTTATAAATGCAATTGAAGAAGAAATAAAATGGCTTTAGAACTTGGGGAAACAAGATATTGTCCTCATTAGCGATAACAAAAGCAAATTAAAATCAATACCATTTTCACTTATTAAAAATTGGATAATATTCTAGGTTGGTGGGGGAAATAGTCACTCTTCTCCAATAATTGTTATAATGTTTAAGAGACAATTTGATAGCACTTGTCAAAATTTAAATGTCTGTATAATTTGACCCAAAAATTAAACTAGAATTCTGTTCTTCAAAAACAACTAAAAAATTTTGCAAGATGTTCACACAGTAATGCTTATCATAGCATTGTTTATAGTAGGAAAATAAGTAGAAACAACTAATATATCAGGGACCAGTTGAATATGTGATATATAGCACACAGTTAAATATTGAGGACTATCGTAATACTACTATAGAAACGTGCCAGCATAAGTTGTAAAGTGGAAAAAACAATGTGCTAAACAAAGTGTGCATCATTTGTGAAAAAAATATAGTGTTTTTAGGAATGTGTGGGTTTGCAAACACACAGGGAAAAAATCTAGGAGGACAAATCACACTTGTCTCCAGAGAGTGGGATTGGAGAGAGAATTGAGAACACTTTTTCTTTATACATTTCTATACTTTTTTTGGTAAGATGAGCAGTAATACTGTGATTTAGAAAATCAAGGCGAAACAAAGGGAAACAAGGAAACCAAAGGGGAAGTCGAAGATGCCACACCTCTCAGTGAGGGGTCCCATGTCAGCGCAATTAGAAACCTCACCAGAAATTCTCTGTGGACATGCTAGTCAAGTTAAATGTTCTCTTAATTTTTAAAAAGAGTAAAAAGGATTCTATTTTGAGGAAGGCATCTTGTTGCTACATGTCTACCTTTCTGAGAGCCACAAGAAATTCCATTCCACTCCCAGGATGGACCAGCTCAAGGAGACATGATGGACACTTCTGACTTCTGAGTTCTCTCTCCCTTTCTCACAGCAGGGGAAACCATTGATTTCCTCATCAGAATCAGAGTAAATTACCATGGCACCTGTTTCTGTTCATTCTTCATCTTTCAGACCTAGCCTGCTGTGGCCTGTGGACGGCCTCCTCACCTTCACGTGGCAAGTGGCCTGTCTCTTCTCCAGGGGGGAGGGGGAGACCCGGAAGTCCAGCTGCTTAACCACAAATGGGTGTGTGGGGGGGAAACAGAAAGCCCACCTTGACCTCAGGTGCTTTCTCAAATCCAAGATTACCAAATATAAAACGAACAACTTGAGCTCCGTCTGATCCTCATAAATATGTGTTCAGTTGCTTGTAACTTGAAGAGAAAGGGGAAGGATTATCACTCCAAGTAACCCCCTAATATAGAAAATTACTGAGCTATAATTTGCCCCCAAACAGTTTCTAAAAATATGAGATCATGAAGTTTTTCAAAGATGCTTAAAGAGAATTGCAGGTGGCACTTAGCTCACAGCAAGAGTAGCACCGACACATACTGCTTCTATAATGAGAAATGAGAAGGAAAGATAGGTAGAAATAAATATATATATATATATTTATTTATTTGTTTGCTTCCCTTTCTTAAAGCAAAAATGTGGGGTAATTGAGAGATTAGGAAAGAGAACTTACAAAGCAGAACACCAGAATTTAGCTACTTAGCTACCCTTATCTACTAATTTTTGCCTTCCATCAAATAAATCTCTGCCCCTTCGTCATTGCTTCCATTATGACAAATTCTCATTTTTGTCCAAGTCTTGAGCTAATTAATTTCAAGCGTTAGTCCAGGTTACTTCCTTATGTGATAGGCAGCGCCTACAATGGCCCCCCAGTGACCTCCTTCTCCTGCTCTTCTTGCCATTGGGTAATTCCCTCCCTTTGAATGTGCAGTAGACCTAGTGACTTGATCATAGTAGAGTATGTCAAGAGTGATGCAAACACTGAATCATGGAACACCGCATCAAAAACTAATGGTGTACTGTATGGTGACTAACATAACATAATGGGAAAAAAAAAGAGTGATGGGATATCACTTCCAAGATTAGATTATAAAAGACCATGACTTCCACCTTGCTGGCATGTTCTCTCTGACTCTTCTAGCTTGCTCATTCTGATGAAGTCAGCTGCCATGTCGTGAGAGGTAGCCCACATGGTAAAGAATTAAGGCTGACTTCCAACCAAGAGCCAGCAGGGAACTGAAAGTCCTCAATCCAACAGCCCGTGAAGAACTGAGTTCCACAAATAACCATGTGAGTGGTCCTGGCAGTGAATCCTGCCCACTGGGAGCCTCAAGGTAACTGCAGCCTCAGTCAATGCCTTGACCATAGTCTCTGAGAGGCTCTTGGCAAAGGACCTGACTAAACCACACCTGGACTCCTGACCCACATAAACTGAGATCAATACTGTGTTAAGCCACTAAATTGGGAAGTCATTTGTTACGCCATAATAAGCAACTAGTATACTCTATTTTAAAATCTTTTATTATATTTTTTGCTACCTGGAATCAGAGTCCTTAGTTGGTGCTTATTGTGTTATATAAAAAAATTCCATTAAACGGTATTTGGTATAACTTATCCATCTAATTGTCAAATAGTTGTTGAGTAGCTACCAAATGCAAAGAAGTGTGCTGGACTTAATGTTACTAGCATTTTTCTTGTTTCATCTCTGCAGTGGGTCTTTCCTTTCTTCTCTTTCATTTTTTCCCCCCTTTGCTTTATGCTTTAGTTAAGTGTCAGGAAGCAACAGTGAGCCCAGAAGTGTCAGCTCAATTACTGAACAAAACAAAGATGGATAGAACACTATAAGATGCCCATCTGAATTCATGGAAACTGAACTATTTTCTAAGGTAATTAAAAGCTGATTCCGTATAAGCTCAGTAACACATATACCAGCTGTCTCTCCCAGTACCTGCTTTGACTGATGAAGTCACCGAGCACCGACTTCATTTTCTCTTCTGATGCTTTCTCTGAAATCTTGATCAATTCTCTCACTTCTTCTATGCTTTCTTCCTGGAAACAAACCACAGAGGGTGGAGGGATGAGTGGAAGGAGACACTGTAATGGAGACACTGATAGCTCAGATATCGTATTTTGCTGATTTTGTGTTTTAAAAATGAAGGAAGAATTCCTCCATTTTCTTGTGTCTGATCTGGGAAATGCTACTGCATTCTAACTTTGAACCTCGTTTTTCTTAACTGGAATCAGTCTAAATACAAATCTCCTCCTGCATTGTTCAAACTCAGCATTTCTATCCCAAATCATTTTCGAAGGGGGAACCATTTATTTAGAGTCTACCCCGTGGGGAACCTAATGTCAAGAAATACCTAACAAAGTAGAGTAAATAAGATATAATTTTTAAAAACTTCAAAAGCAGGGCACCTGGGTGGCTCAGCCATTAAGCGTCTGCCTTCGGCTCAGGTCATGATCCCAGGGTCCTGGGATCGAGCCCGGCATCGGGCTCCTTGCTCGGCGGGAAGCCTGCTTCTCCCTCTCCCACTCCCCCTGCTTATGTTCCTGCTTCGCTATCTCTCTCTCTGTCAAATAAATAAATAAAAAATCTTAAAAAAAAAAAAAAACTTCAAAAGCAATGTTAAAGTCATTTGGTTATATGGGAATATAGTAATACTGAATAATCCTAAATTCCAAGGGTTATCAATTCTTCTGATTGTAGGGGTTTGGGCGGTGGGTGAGGTGTTATAGGGGAGAAGGACAGGTTGCATATGACAATGGCTATATGCTTGTATATTTAATAACCATTCTTTTCTTTTTAGGTCTAAATTCTAGTATTCCATCCAGTGGCTGGGAGGGATACAGCACTCAAAATATACATGTTATCAATGCTCTGCTGGAACTTACAAAAACTACATTCTCTACTACACATCGAAGTTTGATGTCTGGAGATATATGTTTCCCTCTCTCCCCTTCACTGTAAGAACAGGCAAATTGTGGAGTGGTTAAAAATTTAGGCGTAGGGTCAAACTACCTCTGTTCAAATCCAGGCTCTATCCTTATAAGTGCACTAACCCCCTTATGCCCAGTTTCCTGCAAAATCAGGTAATAAAAGTGCCCACCTATAGCACCATAGGGAGGTGTGGACTTCTTCAAACACAGCTTAGTGCTTAGTAAATATTCAGTCATGTTAGCTGTGATATGCCAAGCATGGCAGGGATCCTGGCACTGAGAAAGGAATTAGAAATGAATGGTAAAGGCAGCTATGGCCTCTAGGGAAACATTCTTGTCTGTCAAGCCTTTTAGAAATAAACTATCTCTTTGGCCTGAGGAGAAGCAAAACCAACCTTACAAAGCGAGTCTACGGCTTCCACATAATGTGACATCAGACCAAGCATCCTCTACCACCTTCAGACTCTACCTCCATGATGCCTGGAATCCCCAAGGCCAGAGGGGAAACTTTGTTTCACACAACTAGAGGCAGAATGATAAAGCAAACGAGAGAGAGAGAAATTCGTTCTTTCCCTAACATAGGTTTTCATGGGATGAGAGGGTCATCTGGTGAGGCATGGTGGGACAGAATGTAGAGGGCACGAAGAGAAATATTAAGAGCAGGCACAGGGGCGCCTGGGCGGCTCAGTTATTAAGCGTCTGCATTTGGCTCAGGTCATGATCCCAGGGTCTTGGGATCAAGCCCCACAACGGGCTCTCTGCTCAGCAGAAAGCCTGCTTCTCCCTCTCCCACTCCTCCTGCTTGGGTTTCCTCTCTCACTGTCTTTCTCTCTGTCAAATAAATAAGAAAAACTTAAAAAAAAAAAAAAAAAGAGAGAGAGAGAGAGCAGGCACAGACACCAAAGGGCAGGCTCAGGAGCCCAAAGAAGCAGAGATCCCAGGGCTGCCTTCCTCCCCGGGGTTGGGTGGAGCAAGCCAGCAGTCACTGCATATTGACGCGGTCATAAGTACTTCCACATGTTCAATCCCTCAAATAACTCTTGGCCCCTTTCAGGGGCCAGGTCTTACGCCAGATGCCACAGAACAGTGGGAAATGGTTATTGGACAAACAAGCACACAAATCAATTGTAAAATGCAGAAAGCTCTGAAGGTAAAGCACAGGGTATTACGAGAGAGGATAATGGGGGGAAGCCAGAAGGCTTCTCTGAGAAGTAGTGGAAACTGAGCTGTGGAGGTTGATGGGTGACACAGGAGAAGCGTGGAGGGGAGAAGTAGCTCAGGATGAGGGAACAGCACAGAGGTGGCTATGAGGCATTAAAGAAGCTTCATTTCTTCAAAAAACCAGAAGTCCAGTGTGCTTGGAACAAAGGAGAAAGCATGTGAGAGACAGGACTGGAGAGGTGGCAGGACTTCATCTTGTAGGTGATTCTCTACCATGTTAAGGACTTAGAATTTTATATGAGTTGAAGCCAGGATCTATCAATTTTGTGAGAAAGTTGTCAATCGCCTGCCCTTTGGAGATTAGGAAAACAGCCTATCCCTAGGTCCTATAACGTTAAGAAGCAGAGCAGGTATTCTAATCCAGGTAGTTCTATTTAAAGTCAAGATGTATTCTCATTCCCCTGGGTCCACAGGGTAGGAACTATGTGCCCTCCAAAGCAGCAGCTGCAATTTATTTGTATTTAAACTGAGGTCAAGACCCTCTCCTGGATGAATAAAAAGATTCCTTTTGCCTCCAGCTGCCTAATGTTCAAATCCATCACCCTGTGAGTGTCACCTACCAGCAGGTCCGCCATTTTCTCCAGCATGTTGGACCAGTGCAGCCTAAATGTCTGGTCTCCCCAAGAACTGATGAAATAGACACAGGGCTTCTTGGCCTCAAAAGGCAAATAGTTGTAATTCCTGTGAAAACAAGTTAGATCTGGATGTTAGTTGGCAATCGGTATTATTCAGGCAATTCCAGCCACATATTCACGTTTTATACATTCTGAGTGGGGTGGGGAGGGGTGGTGACAAAACAATCAAACAATTAACTCTATTCTGGTCAGGGACCCATGAACAATAAACAACGAAGAGATACGTGGCAACAATGGAGAGGTATTAACAGCTACAGCCATCAGACCCAGGGCAAAGCCTAAAGCTGAGCACCAGGGGGTGGGGTTTATCAGGCAAGCCTCCTGCAAGGAGGCACTTCCCTTTCCAGTTGAGAGAGGAAAGAAGGGAGAAAAACTAACATGTTCCCTTTGATGTGTATAAGCTACGCACTATGTGAAAATCAACCAAGATAACAGATGTGAATGAAATTGCTAGAGAACTGTAAGAGCGTAATATATTATTAATGAGGATGAAGCATGTGCCTCAGTCTAAACTGCAGCAACCATGTCGCCATCCATGCATCCACCCATCCATCTAGGCATCCATGCATCCATCCGCTCGTCCATCCATCCATCCGTTCATTCCTCTGTCCATCCATGCATCTATCCATCCATCCATCCAACTGTCCGTCCATCCATCTATCCATGCATCCAATATTTATTGCTGCCAGGCACTGGTGTGGATAACGCAGGCAACCTGCTTGGTTAAGAAGGGACAAGAGGGTGCGATATAGCTAGAAGGAGAGATGTGGAGCCAAAGGAAATTTTTGAGGATGATGGTTGGATATGTTTAAATGCTGATGAGAAAAAGACAGTTAACACGGTGAGACTGAAGACCCAAAAGAAGGAACTAACTTGTCAGTTTTGGTCCCCAGGAAAGAAAGGGATGGGGTGAGGCAGGTAAGGTGGGAGAATTGTGGCAAAAAGTTGAAGTTCCTGTCTAATGACAGCTATATCCTTGACTAAGTTTTCCCCAAACCCCCTGTAATTTTCCCACTAACAGCTGGGACTATGAGAAGACAAACGTGGAAGGAAGGCCAAGGCAAAGTTCTTGGAATGGGCAGGGTGAGACATGTGGCCCTATAAACATGGGCAGTGTTTGGAGTCACACACCTATAGAGGCTGAGAGAGGAGACACTGGGGGAGAGAAAGCTTTGTTTCCATTCCAAAAAACTAAAGAGAACTTCATCCTGAAAGAATGGATGGTTGTTCTTTTTAGATCTACAAACCAAATTTCTTCTGGATACCATAAAATCAGCAAAGGTGTCCTATAGTCTGTTCTGCAGAAAATAAATCAGCAGGCATCAATTTAGAAGAGAAGCCAAATAAATTCTTGGCAGAGCCTGAGACTGTTATTATAACAGGAGAACAAAAAATAAATAAATAAGTTAGAAATCAAACTGTTCTTTCTCTTCTTCTAAAATTATTGCACCAAGAATCCTATAAGATACATTCTCACCCAATATTGTCCTTTGTTCCAAGGTTTCTATGGTTCAGATTATTTTGGACTCATGACGTTCAGGGCCTTTGTCTCTTGGATTCCCAGAGTCCTCCTAGTCTTACTGGGTCTGGTACTGGGATGCTGTGGGTCTCAGGCAAACTCAGTACAGATGGAGCACGGCAAATTGGAGGACACCATGAGGGCACCATATTGCCAGTGGGAAGAGAAGCCTGCCAGTTGGAATGGCTGCCCTGACACAAGACCAGCCTTGTGACTTTGGGTAAGGGTAGCCCTACAGTCCTGAGAATGAAATGATGAACTGCCATGGGATGTCCTGTGCTCTAATCTCATTTCTGAACTCCAGCCCAATACAGAAATCGTATGTAAATGCATGTGCTTTGTAAAACAGGAAAGCCCAGAAGAAATGCAAGGAGGTATTTTAATGAAGGTAACACACAAATCAAGTGACTATGTACCTGTGCCTGTGTGCATGTGCATGCATGTGTGCATGCGCGTGCACATGTGTATCTATTATAGACATAGGATCTTCCAATTTAGCTGCTGCCACCCCAGTTTTCCACTGTGTGGACAGAGGCTCAATATAGTGACTGAGGAATATTTCTGAGAGACAGAAAGTCCAAGAAACATAGCATGATTCATTTGGGTCTCCTTGAGCCACTTGGCCAGCACTAATATGAGATCCATCCAAGGGTGCTTTGAGACTTCTCATTTCCTCCCAAACTGTTCCCACACTAGACCTCCTGACATTCTCACCCATTGTCAACAATGGGGCTAGTCCAACAAGTGGAGAGGTTTTTACTGCCTAGTCCCCGTGAAAGGATGCACAGTACCTCTGAGTAGTGTCAGAAAAGTCTCCCTGAGTTGCAAATCCAGGCATAGGATCCACTCATTGATCAACTCAGTTTTGAGAATAGACAGAGAAGCCATCAAAGGACTGAGAAGTTTGGGTTCCTTGCTGGGTATGTGGAAAGGAGGTTGGACAACCAACTATGGCTGCCAGGGAGCCAAAAAAAAAATCCCAAGGTAGGTGGCCCATGGGAGGGACAGGATTTAGAAAGTATCGGAAACACTAAAAACTGAGCCAGATAAACAGCTAAGATTATTTTCGCTCACTCCTTCATACTTTGTCCCAAACACTCTCTTTCCACTGCTTAAGGCCCTTCCCATTCTTTAAGATGTTGCCTTTTCTGTGACCTTTATCAACGCCCCACCTCCTCCCCAGGGAAAGTAAGTTATCTGCCGCCTCTCTCTGCACCCTTAGTACCCTGTGCCCAACTCAGTTATGGTAATTCCTTAACTCATTCAGAAACATTTATGAGGATCTACTACATTCCAGGCTTAGAGAGGAGCAGATACACAGGTGAATATGACATGGTCTGTGTCCTCAGAATGCTCATAGTCTCATAGGGGGGCAACCAAGTAAAAACATCTTAATGAAGTATGATTGGTGCTTGGTGGAGACATCAGACTTGGGATTCAGGGAAGGGAATGTGGGCTTAGCCTTGAAGGGTAATGGGAACCAGCAGTTGTGACAAGGGGGCTTGTTGCCTGGCAGAGGGCAGAGCGTACTCAAAGGCCCAGAAGCAGCAAACAGCCGAACACATTTGAAGAACCACCAGAGACGGGGCGCCTGGGTGGCTCAGATGGTTAAGCATCTGCCTTCGGCTCGGGTCATGATCCCAGGGTCCTGGGATTGAGCCCCACGTCGGGCTCCTGGCTCAGCGAGGAGCCTGCTTCTCCCTCTGCCTCTCTCCCTGCTCATGCTTTCTCTCTCTGTATCTCTGTGTCTCAAATGAATAAATAAAATCTTTAAAAAAAAAAAAAAAAAAAAGGAACCACCAGAGACACCGCATGGCTGGAGGGATGGCAGAGTTTGGGGACTAGAGATGATGGTAGAGAAGTAGATATGGACGGAAATAACAAGGTGTGGCCTCTGAAAATAATCCTGAAAGCCAAAAGCAGCCAATGAATGAATGATGTCAGAGTAACTGGGTCTGATAGACAGTTTGGTGAATTTCTTGAAGATCCGAGCCAGGTAGGAAGTTTCTAGAATAATCCAGGACAAAAATGCCAATGGCCAGAATTAAAGAAATGACCATCTATACGAGAAATTCTTGAGAACCAGAATTGACCAGACTTCATTGCTGACCGGATGTGGGAAGGAAGGGAACAGAGGGCAGCTGACAGCTTTCTGATTTGTGGTTCAGGGGACACAGGGAATGGGCGGACGAGTCCATGAGATGGGAAAGATAGGAAGGGGGGGAACGTTATGTGTGGAGACAATGAACCTGCTGCAACTTTGGGACACCCAAGTGCGGTGTTTGGATTTGCTGCTCAGGGAAGAGCGCTGTCTGGGGCAATGCTTTGGGGACTCCTTGTTATCCTGACAGTGCTCAGTAAGCCATGGGTCTGCGCCCAGAGAGCGTGTCTAGATTGGGAAGAGCAGAGCAAGTGAAGAGCACCAGCAGTGCGGTTCCAACCTCCTCACATACCAAGGGGGAAAACTAGGTTCTCTTACGAGAAGCCAACGAGAGGATAAAGCTTCTCTCAGGGCACAAGCCTCAGAACTCAGAAGACTCCTGCTGGCTTTCCCTTCTTGTAAATCATGTGGCTGATGCTCGACACCACTTTCTTACAACAGAATTCTAGAATTTTACTTCTCTTTGCATGCTGAAAGGTTATGTGGGTTAAAAATCAGTGAGTATGCCTGGAGGTACCCCAGATGTTTTCTGAAATGGTCTTCTCTGGTGGCTGACAGTTTTTGATTTTGTTTTTGAGTTCTTCAGTCTGACTGCGGCAAAATCAGATAAGAAATGATGTATCCCATAATCCCATTTACATAATAGCACAGAACTCAGATGGATGTAGTAACTATTAATTGGGTTTGGAGTGAAATGTTAAATTCTGACCTTCCCACCTTGTTATGCTTTAAAGTTATAGATATGGTACTGAAAAACACACTGAGGGTTCTAGAGAGGAGGAGGGTGGCGGGATGGGTCAGCCTGGTGATGAGTATTAAGGAGGGCACGTTCTGCGTGGAGCCCTGGGTGTTATATGCAAACAATGAATCATGGAACACTACATCAAAAACGTATGATGTAATGTATGGTGATTAACATAACATAGCAATAAAAAAATAAATAAATAAAAAAGATATGGTAATAATAGCCATCATCATTGTCCTGCCCTTAGATGAATTACCCGGATGTGACATCTGGAGAGTTGTCAACATGTCACCGAAGATTCAGTAGAGTGGCAATGACCATGTTGCCCCTGTTCGTGCCTTGCTCCCATGACTAAGACTAAAAAATGATGTTTCTGGTTTTAGGGAAGAACTGAATCAAACAGTCCCAGAAACAGGTCAGACTCCTATTGTCAGAACCCTGGCTGTTCTCCCTTACTGTGTCTCCTACCTGTTTCCTTCTGTCACGAGTGGCTTCTCTGGGTGAGTGGTGGAGACCGTAGGGATGACAACATTGTGGGCTGCATCCCCTTCTCCTTCAGGCAGGAGTGGGAGGCTGTCTTCTTCAGCTGATTCAGCTGACTTCTTACTCCCATGATGGGACCCTCCATCAAGCAGATTCCCAAAATTACCTATAGAGACAGTAGCAAGGGGAGAGAGGTCAGGTGTCAACAAGCAGAATCAGGCTACTCGGCATAAAGGATCCAAGGTCATATCCTCCCAGGACAGAGAAATAAGATCTCAGTATGAAGGTGGGAAGTGTGATGGTCAGACCAAAGAAATAAGATTGACAGTGATGGTGAGTCATCATCTACATCCATCTCATGTTCTCTTTTGTAAAAACTACTTAAGTCACAAATTAACTGGATTCCATCTCCACTTCCTTCTGCTCCTTGGAAGGACACCCTCCTGATGGGAATCAAGACCTTCTCTGATGGAATGCTCTTTCTTGGAAAGATTTTCCCAGCTGTACATCAGCCCAGGAAGATCGTTGGGAGTTATAATAACTGCCCCTACAATATGCACAGGACTTCACAAGCATTAATTCATTACACTCTTGCAATAGCTTTATGAAGAGTTATTGCTATTCCCATTTCATAGATGAAGAAACTGAGACCCAGAGAAATTAAGTGAGCCTAGGAGTAATAGAACTAGGATTAGTAATCCAAGTCTTTCTGAATCCAAACTATACTCTTAATCCTTTTTTTAAGTATGAAAATAAATCTATCCCTTACGTATTGACACTAGGGTGAACAAAGAATTATTCATTTCTTTCTGAGGTGCAAACCTCTGCCAGAATGCTATCATTTCTATGTAAGACACTAACTCATTCATTCAAGAAACAGGCATAAAGCCAGTGCCATGTGCCAAGCACTGTGCTTGTTTGCACTTACCGATAGAAACTTCAAAGCTAATGGGTTTATCTCCAATCTTCCGGTCAATCATGGTAGCTTCAAAAAATGCTCCAAAAAGTAAAAATTCCTCATATTTTTCTGGTATAATCTGTAGAAAAAAAAAATTTAGACAGGTCTGGCTTTATTTTTTTTATTACCAGGAAGCTGAATTAGTGATGTTAACTGGTCCAGAGTGATTTGTAGGCATTTGAATTTCAGTGTCAGCCTGAAAGGGCACATCATTTCCCTGCTAATCAGGCAGGCAGGAACCAGGACCTACAAATTACAAATCCAAATTCAGCCATCTATCTAGAATAATGTAATCTCAACCTTCTGAGCTTCTGCCCTGCAATTAAAATCTTTTTTTTTTTTTAAAGACAAAGGTTGGCATGTGTATCTTTCTACAGTACTATTGGTAAAACACAGGTCTGGAATCACCTTTGGGTGAGCAGCCATTTAGAAAACAGACAGTAACAGAATCAAACCCTTACATTGGAGCATTGTTTTATGGATTATATAGGCGGTCACATACATTATGTTTGTTTCTCAACAACCTCAAGAGGTCAAAATCTGGATCATTCCCATTTTAAAGGCAAAGAAGTTGAGGAAACTAAACGTAAGGTTGAGTTTAGTAACTTTCCCAAGTATTCTGACCACAGACCAGGGCTCTTTGAGCTCTACCACGTGCTAACCCAACACTTTGGTGCTGTTCAAAGACAGACCTTACTCCCCGAAATAACATAAGCCTGGATAAAAGAGACAGGAAGGCTAGGCACTTGCATGAGCATCAGCCAATCCAGTGCATCCGGGACAAGCTGTAAGCATGCGGAGGGTCTCAGGATCACATCAGCTTTTATACTGAAAAGGGCCTTGGAGTTCATCTGCTCCAGCTTCCTCCTATCTGAATAAACTAAAGCTCAGAGAGACTAAGGGGCTTCCCCAGGTCACACAGCAAGTTAAAGTCAGCCAAGATTTGAATCCTACATTGTGGAAGACAGGACCCTGAGAGGTCACAAGACAGGAGCCATCCCAAGGTAACCATAACTGTTTGTAGATGACTCCTATTGATGTGGAACAGGTTGATGGTTCAGGGAGCAGATGTAGCTGAGACACCGACATAGCATCACATTTCTGAGCAAAGAGGCTGAATGAGCTGCCATACATACAGTCTGTGTTTCCTGGTTTCACAGTTGGATTGATTACATTACATGGAAAAAGCAATAAGGTTCATCTAAGGAAAATAAACAGTTGTGGCTTTAGAGCTGAAGAACCCCATTCAATCAAGAGCCCTGAACCCTGTCCCTCTGAGAGCCAACAGGTCTCAAAAAAGTGACCTTTCCTTTACACAGGAGCCTCCTTGCTGTTGGCATCAGCAGGAAATGTTTCTGTTGACCAGAAAATGTTGGACAGGGTGGGGGCCCAGGGCTGGTTCTTAGTCACAGAGCACACACCCCTCCCTCCTGCTGCCACTGTATGCACCAGCTATAAATGAGCCACTTATCTTGCCTTTCTGGGGCCAAGTTTACTCTCGGGAGGAGGTTAAAAGGTATCTGAAGACCTGATGGGAATATAGGCCATGTAGCCTAGAAGAGGGATGACGGACTCCTTAACCAGATAAGCCCTTCTTCAAATCCCAGCTCTGCTACTTCCTAGCTGGTTGACTTTAGGCAAGTCATATCCACTCCCTGGGTGTCACCTTCCCTGTCTGTGAAATAAACATTGTCACAGGGCCTACAGGGGGGAATAATGAGATCATCTACATGGAGCATCTCGTATAAAGCCTACATATACAAATGCCACAAGAATGGTAGTCTTGGCAAGTATTTCAACAGATAGAATTCATCTCTTAATCCTGCCCATCCTTCAGGTCTAACTCAAATGGCCCATTCTTTTGGAAGCATACTTTGACTTCCTGAGTTTGAGAAATGATGATGGCAATGTTTACTGAGTTCTTATTATGTGTCAGATGTAGTATTAAGAACTTTACCTACATTATCTCAGGTAATTCTCATAACCACCCTAGGAGGAAGACGCTTTTATTCTACCTGTTTAAAGATGAAGACAATGCAGTTTGTGAAAGATTAAAATATCTGTCCGAAATTACTAACCATGCCTAATATTTATTGAGCACTTACTATGTGCCAGACTCTCTTCTTAGCACTTTGTATCTATTAATTCATTAAATCCTCACTGTGAGCCCATGAAGTAGAGATTATTATTGGAAATAAGCATAAAGATTCAGAGGCAATGTTTCTCCAGGGGCTGGGCAATAACCACTGCCACATCTAAAATCCAGCTCTCTTACTTGAGAGCCCAACATTTTAATTATCATACTTCACTTACTCCAGGAAATATTCACACTTTATCTGTAGCTCCTTATTGCATGTATCACCTTCTACTTCCTGTACATTTATTTTGTATGTCTTACCTCCACTTCTGTATCATAATTCCCATGGAGTCAAACCCTCTTTGTATTCCTACATACTGAGGATGATGTCTAAAAAAAGAAACTAGTCAGTACATGTTCAAAGAATTTGAAAATGAACACATCTATTAGATTAGCTATGCTCTGTGAAAGCTTGGCATAGGGGGAGATAAGCTTTGACGGTGGTGATGAGGGTGAACTGGAAAAGCCAACATCATGGGGTCTCATTTGCCCAGGTATGCAATGAGAGCATGGCTGCAGCAAGGGAGATGGGAGCTCAGGACCCTGGAGAGCTAAAAAAGAAACTGCTTCAAGAAGGAATATCACCATGTTGGTAAGGGTGAGCTCTGAGGCTGTTGAGGCTCTGGGGAAGGTAGAAAATATGTCCACAAATCCTTGGAAACCCCCCACTCAAAAGATTAAGCCTAATTCCTCCCCCATTTCGGTGTGGACTGGGCTTAGTGACTCATTTCTAACAAGTAGAATGTGCCCTAAATATCAGTGTGTGACTTCTAAGGGTTTGGTCATAAAAGACATTGACATTTTTGCCTTGTTCTCTTTTGGATCACCCACTCCACTCAGTTGGGGGGGAAGCCAACTGCCATGAAGATATTAAGAAGCCTGTGGAAGGGTCCATGTGGTGAGGAACCAAGTCCTGCCAACAGCCATGAGAGTGTGCCATCTTGGAATTGGATCCCACAGTTCCAGTCAAGCTGTCAGATGACTGCAGCCCCTACCAACATCTTGATTGAAACCTCATGAAAAATTCTGAGCCAGAACCACGAAGCTAGGTATTCCCAAATTCCTCATCCACAGAAAAAATAAATATTTGTTGTTTTAAGTTGCTAAATTTGGGGATAATAGTTATATAGCAATAGATAACTAATAAACCCAGCAGGAAACTGACCACAAACATGAAGCCAAGATGAAGAGAGAAAGAAGGAGAAATAAGGGTTTGAATGAGACCTGAATTTCCCCTCTGCTACCACCTTCTATCCAAGAGCCAAGATGGGCTATTGGCCTTCTAGAAAATGTACACTCTATGTAAATTCCCAGCTACACCTGCTTTCTGCTAGAAATTTTTTTTTAGATGGGCTTAGCAAAATATCTTGAAGATACTGACATGGGTTAAGAAAATCTTCTATTAGGCCCTTTCTACTTGGTAATTCCTGTCTAGAAAAGAATGGTCAGTCTCAACAGCAGGAAAGATTGCTGCAGAATCAGATACAGTCAAGATATCAGCATAGGTGGCTACTTAAGGTACCCGCAGTTTCTGGCAAAGTCCAAAAAATGTCATTTCCAAAGTTGGCAGATATTCTGAAAAAATACACATAAATACAGTCACATCAAAGCAATGTCAATTATAACCACAAGAAACTGACAGTACACATTTCCAGAGAGTATTTCCCAATATACAAGTCCATAGGGGAGAGCTGGGGAGGTCCACAAAATATCCAAAATAGGTCCAAAAAACAGGGTGGAGAGCTCTGAACAAATCATAAACACCGGTCACAGCAACAGTAAATGTACTGCCAGCCTACCATAAACATGTAAAGAACACTGTCAACCGTTTTACAGGCATTCCCTCATTTACCCCCAGGAGATGCCTATGACAAAGAGACTATTACTACCTCATTTTGTTAATGAGTAAACTAAAACATGGGGAGGTGTTACTATCAGAGCCATGAATAGAACCAACCCTCAAGATTTCCTACCCTGGGCTCCAACCTCTCCCCCACACTGTTCCTTAAGATGTATTAGATCCCAGCAGTGAAAATAAGTGGCTCTACCAAAGCCAAGGTGACCCAGACCAGCCATCACCTTCCTTCCCCACCCAAAATAATCGTCTGGATGCCCTGAGAAACACACTCCCAGAGACAGAATCATCCAAGTTGAGAGCTGGAGTCCACTCACCTCTGCTACTAACAAACCACAAGTTCCATCATTTGCTTAACTACAGAGCAACTGCTAATCTAAACAGTTGATGGGGGGTGTTTGGGTGGCTCAGTCAGTTGAGCTTCTAACTCTTGATTTCGGCTCAGGTCATGATCTCAGAGTCATGAGATCAAGTCCCACATCGGGCACTGAGCATGAAACCTGCTTGGGATTCTCTCTCCCTCTCTCTCCGCCCCTCCCCCACTTACACTCACTTGCTCTCTCGCTCTCTCTCACTCTCTCTCTCTCTCTCAAATAAACAAACAAACAAACAGTTAAGGGGATAGTCACAGTTTGTATGCATCTTGGAGACCCAGATCTCTTTCCCATCATACAGAATGGGGCTAGGAAAAATGCTAATGTGTTTTATGTTGAGTAATAGGCATTTCTTTGAATTGTGATTTCCCCCCAGTCTTAGCCAGGGGAATAGGTTTCTCAAATTCTTTCATCCTAGCGTGTCACTCACTCTTCTTCCTCTTCATCCCTCATCCCACACAGCATAGGCTAGGCTAACAAAGCTAAACAAAATTAGCCCACAGATAGAGCTCAGTCCATCCCCCCACCACCTGCCTTCACCAGCTCTCCCAGAACACTTTTATTTCCCTTTCACTTTGGTTCTCATGGGATTCCGTGTTTGGGGGGAACACTGGAGGGATTTATCATGAGCAGATGGCTGTAATGTGTCAGGAAGAGGCAGCGGATCGGCCCAGAATACAAGGCTGGGCCAAAACACATTTAGCAGGGGGAGCGGGACCTGTGCATGCCTTTGGGAGCCTGTGGGAGCGGCGGTGGCAGGTGCTGCCTCCACTCTGGGCTTGCCTCACAGGGGCAGTGAAGCAGTGCTCAGACCTACCTCAGGGGGAACATCAAAAGGTTCCACCTCTACCTCTGTTGAGTTGGTCTTGTCTGACACCTGCTGGGATTTTCCATCATTGGTTTTGTCACCCTTGTCTTTACTGGAGCCTTTGGAAGATTTGGAGTCTTTGTCCTTTGAAGACAATTTGAGCTCCTTGAGTGCCTTGGAAAATTTAGATTCCTGTGCCCCTCCCGAGAGGATCTCCACAGCAATTTCCACCAAGATTCTGCCCCTGAATGACACGCCTTCTCCAAAACCTTCATTCAGTTCCTGGTAGTCGTCCATCAGGCTGTGGTTCCTGGGTGAACCGTACAGGTTAATCCAGGCAGGTCCGAAGGTTGGTAGAAAGCCTGCAAAAGCCCCAAGCTTTAGTTGCCCGGTAATGTTTCCAAGTTGATTATTTCTTGCTTTATAAAAATTGTGCACATTCATTTAAAATGTAAAATATACAGAAAAGACAAGAGAAAATATTTACAGAATGTCCCATCCCCCAAAGAGCCACCATTGCCACTTTGATATATTTGCTGTATTTCTTTCTTTCTAGTCTTCCTTGCATGCACCCGTGTGCATTTGTTCACAGCTGTAATGTTACTACCAATGCCGACGTGCATCCTTGTTTGTTCATTCATTCAACTCATGGTTATTGAGTCGTGACATGTGCCGGGCACCACGCTAGACACTAAACACGGAGCCCAGTGGAGAATGAAGCAGAAACAAACATTAAACAAGTAAATATTTACATTATAAGTGCTAAGCAGGAGATTTACCTTATGCAGCAAGAACAAATAACAGGCTGAAGAGGCATGGAGAGGGGCCGGGCAGAAAGAGAGAGATTCTGTCCCAAAGGAGGGTCAATTTTAAGGAGCAGAGATACTGTGGTAAAGGGGATAAGAAGATTTTATGGCCCCTGATGTCTAATTTTTAAAACTATTTTATACATTTCTTTGAACACTATCAAGATGTTCCTGAAAATTTGGGGTAAAACATGTTTACACCAAGTTGAGATATTCTGAGGGTGGTGCGCATTCTGCGTAAAGCAATCCTGTGGCAAACCCTTCCACGATAGGAAGACTTAAACAGTAGGTGTTTATCGAGGTCTTTCTGTGGTGTCACGCTGTGAGAGGTACAAAAATATGTAAATCTTGTCCTCTGCTTAAGCAAAGCCTTTGGTATATATGTTATATGTACACACACATATATATGCATAAATATATTCATCAATTAACACCAGTTTGTCGTGCAGAGAAAGACTGCCTTGGGATTTTAAGGAGGGAGGGTTTATTGGGATATTTAAAAAGTTATCACCTGCTAATTTAGGTTTTGCAAATAAAGAAAGAGTAAAAGCTCTTTCCCCTGACTGGTAGATTAGCTGGGCCTCCTCATTCCCTCTCTGGCTCTCTGAGTGTGCAGTCACAGCACCTTCCTGCAACACTCAGGACCATGTGCTCCTAACAGTGAGTTGGGGGCACGGTATCTTCTGGACTTTTTAAACATATAAAAATCATTCTTAGCTTATGAACCATAGAAACGTATTTGGCCAGCTGGATGTAGCCCATGGACCATAGCCTATCAATGTCTGATCTAATCTAAACTCTTCATTTTTCATTTAAGAAACCCAAGGCCCAGAGAGGGGGAATGACTACCTCAAGGACACACAGCAATGTTCATGGAAGACCTGGGACCATGATCAAGCCTCCTGGATCCCACAGCCAGGCTCCACCTATTGCCCTGAATCAACCCGAACCACAAACCACACAGAGCATGGAAATGCCTAACACACTGCCTGCTCCAATCCTCTCATTATGAAAATGAGGGCTTCAAATCAATCATTTTGTGACCCCATTCCCAAGTGAGACAGATGAAGATTTACCTTTATCTCCATCCTGTTCGTTGGAGATTTTCTTCAGGTCGATGAACTGGGTGGCCAGCACTACATCATTCACGCTGCCTTCGTCCCACACCTGGATTTTCACCCTCCGACACAAAGGAGGGAACATTTCCTTGAAGACCACCTGTTCGTGCCACACGGGATTGGCACAGTTCTTCTGCACTGTGGTTCGCCCCTAAAAACAAAGCCAGCAAGACGTAAGCTGTCAAAAGAAAGGAAAGTGGCCCCCTGAACTGACTAAAGAAAACTCTTCAGACCAGCGGGAAATATAAAGTAAGTTGCCAGAAATAATGAACCTGTTTCCACCCAACACCCATGGAAATCCGTTGCACCCAGGAACATTACAGTGGCCCCCCCTTACCAACAGGGAACGCATCCCAAGACACTAGTGGATGCCTGAACCCGTAGATAATGCTGAACCTTATATATACTATGTTTTTTTCCTATACATACATACCTATGATAAAGTGTAATTTATAAATAAGGCACAGTAAGAGATTACCAAAAATAACTAAAAATAAAATAGAACAGTTAAAATAATACATTGTAATAAACATCATAGATCTTAGCAACCTCAGCGTACGATTTCTTTCCCTTTCTTATTGAGAACTATCACCTTTTCACTTAAAGGAAGCACTTATAGCTTCTCTTTGGTGTATCTGAATTGCCAGGACCACTCCTCCTGCATCTAGGGGACATTATTAAGTAAAATAAGGGTGATTTGAACATAAGCACTGCCATAGCGCCACAGTGTACCTGATAACCGAGGTGGCTAAGTGACTAACCATAGGCAGGGCCGACTTGCTGGATAAAGGGATGATTCACATCTGGGTGGGATGGAGCAGGATAGCGCAAGATTTCATCCCGCTATTTGGGACGGCGTGCAATTTAAAACTCATTATTTTTTTCTGGAATTTCCCATTTAATAATTTCAGGCCATGAAGACCATGAGTAACTGAAACCATGGCAAGCAAAGCCACAGATAAGGGAGGAATACTGTACTAACATCCTACTCTGCACCAGACACCATGCCAGGCATCAGGAACAAAGGGAGTAATTGATGGGTCCTGCCCTCAGGAAGTTCTCATAATCACATGGGGGTTAGAAAAAGGCCAACATGCATGTTCTGAACATGAGTTGTTCCATGCATCTGTTCCATGCAGCAGATATAGTTAGACCCTGAGTTTGTGTCTTATAAAAGTAAGGCCTTGTGCAAATCACTTCCCCCTTCCGGACCTCAGTTTCCTTGTCATAAAATGGAGATGATGTCCTATATGACTCAAGGGATCCAAGTAAAAAGTACTCCAATGTTCACCCTGCCAAGATGAGGGGTTACAGCAGCATATATTGTAAGGGCAGAGACAACATGTGTGTCAGCTGAAGCTTCAAAGTCCAGCCAACCAGGATTAAGCTGTGACCATGTGCCCAGGTGCTGGTACTTCCAATGGCTCTTGAGCAGGGAACAACAGGGAACAGAGATGTCCAGGCTTACCCAGGACGAGGACTACCTGGAGAGCCTGGGGAGTAGGTTGGGAGGCAGGTGGTGAGGCTACGGAGGCTGGGGACTGGGTAACAGCTCAGAAAAGTAGCCAGAGGTAAGGAAGGAGGCCTGTCTGCCTGGGTCCTAAATCGCAATACTCCACAGCCCCTCTCCATGATCTCAAATGGACAGTGAGTGGGTCACCAGCACCCCCACTTTCCTGCCATGTGACTCAAGGCCTTTTGTGAAACTTTCTCTCTTAAGGCACTTCCTAATTTTGATTTTAACTTGATTTCATTTGATTAGTAATGTCCTAGGTAAAGAGCAGAGTTCTGGCCCTGGTTTGCTGTTGGTGGTGACAACATTCCTTACCATCTGCCCAGCAAAGGAGACCTCCACAAAGGGGTCCACGAGGTCCTTATTGTCACCCACAAATGCTTTAGTGACATTCGCCATGATGCTGGAGTTCATTTTGGGCAACCCCTCTGCTTTGTAGAGTCTCACATAGAATCTGGCCCAGGGTCTCTCTGATGGAAACCCCTGAGGGATCAAAAGGTTCCTTGAGGGGGAACAAAAAACAAAAAATAAAAAAGCTCTCTCACTTGGAAGAAGAGAGAAAAGGTAGAAGCAATTTGGAGACAGAAAGAAGGATCCTGATATAGGAGAAAGAACTGAAAAGATCAGGATTCATCGCTAAAATGAGTTTTCTTAATAATGTACTGTATGGTGACTAACATAACATAATAAAATAAAATTTAAAAAAATAAAATAAAAGGAGTTTTCTTTATGGTGTACTTGGCAGCGAAGGGTATGAATAGAGTGAATGCAAACTCCTTCAAGTCCTTGAATTATAGAATAAACACCGTCTCCCACTCTGCATCTTAAAAGAAGCACATTAAGTCTTCCCATTTCACAAACCCACTGGTTGAAAATGATAATTCCTTCAAAGAAAAATCAGCCAAATTCAGATAAATAGGATAAGCTGAGGAACAGCTTATCTATTTTGGGTTATTGTAGGGAGACAGGCGGTCCTTGTCCTAGAAGCTGACCTCCCAAAGACTAGTGACACCTTTGATAAGACACATCTTGTACCTCTGATAGAGCAGAATCCCAGGTAGACAAGCCGTGAACTTGGCAGTTCTCATGTGCCCACAAGGAAAGGGAGGAAGAGGGAGGAAAGAGAGATGGAACCTGGGACATATCATTTCTCTTGCATGACCCTGGATGGGCCTGTCTCACTTTTCTATTTGCTCCTCGGCATCAGAGGTTTTGGGGTTGGTCTTCAAGACGTCGCCTTTCCCAGCCACAGTGATGTCACACTTCAGGTACCCCTTCGTGCCAGTCCTGATGTCGCCAGGGTCTGTGAGCAGGGCCCACTTGTCACAGAACTGATGACCTGTGAAAGCGTCCCGAGAGCTCCGATTCCCCGCACAGCTGGCCCCGGCAGGTGCAGCCAGTTCTGTCCCACGCCCCAGGCCGCCCTGGATCTGCTCCCTGGGAGGCGGTGGCTCTTCCCAGTCCCCCAGCCTCATGCTGCCTCCCTCCCCCCCTTCCCTCCTCTCCTTTCGTTCCCACCCTCTTCTCTGTCTTCTCCAACCTGCCGCAGGTACTTGGAAAGCCTTCCACCCAGTGCGAATCACCCAGATAGGTTCTTAGCTTGGACAGGCTAGGAGGACATCAATGGGGTAAAGAAGTCACATATTCTTTCACAGGCTGTAAATGGGGCTCATGGATCTTTTTGTTTGGCCTACACTGTCAGTGCAAACTTTAAAAGCTCTTACAAAATCTAGACCTCTGGCTTATCTAAAAAAAAAAATTGTTAGATCTGCCAACACAGAATGTACAGTTCCACGTGTTCGCAGGTGGTAAGGGAGCTGAGAAGCCACTGCTCCTTTCATGTGGGTTGTGAGCCCTCCCGTTCCCCACAGTCTGCAGCACCCCTTAAGGTATTAACCCCACCCACTGCACTCCTGGCCCCCAACTCATGCGAGCTGGAATTGCTTTTAAGAGAAGGGAGCTTTCATGAGAAGATCTAGATTTGTTGATGGCCCTCTTATTTATCAGCTCCTGACCTTGGACAAATTACCTGCCTTCTCTGAGTTTCACTTTCCTATAAATCAGAGATAATAAGAATTATCATAGCAGACCCTTGGATGGCATGCCACAGCCATTACTCCGAGCTAGGTTCTATATGAAGCACTTTGTATATCAACTTAATCTTCCAACAACCCTGGAAAGGAGGTACTATCTTATCTTCATTTTCTCGGATGAAGAAGCTGAGGTGCAGAGAAGTCAAGTCAGTTGCACAACCATGAAAGAGCAGGGCGGAATGTGAAGCCAGGCAATCTGGCTCCGGAGTGCATATGTGTAACTCCGATGCCACCGTTTCTGCCCGTGTCACACAGCATCACAGCACCAAGTTATAGACGGAATTTGTTGGGGGCAAAAACCTGCTCAGAAGTATCGACATGAAAGATAATGTTGTCATTAGATTGTCAACGTTGAGGAAAAGAGCCAGGTTTGCTCCAATTGTGTAATTGGTGCTCATCTGATTGAATGAGTGGGTCAGTGGATGGGTACATGAATGAGTTGACCTCCAGGTGTGGCAAACTGGAGATGAGTAAGGGAGAGATTGGGAAGTGATGCTTCCTTACCAGGCTGGTTGTACACAGTCCCCAGGTCTACTTTGAAGGAGCCAATCAGTATGCTGCCTATCAGCTTGTGGTGAAAAACCTGAGGAGAGATGGAGCAGTGAGTTCGCTGCACTAGATTTCTCTTTGAGGATAAATCTGTGAAATGGGTTCATGACCCCTCAGCAAGGATTCTAGACTGTGACGCTTGTCTGGCCTTCACTCTTGTCTGGAGCACAGTGACATTTGGCCATCAAGTGGAAAGGGCATCCAGAAGTATCTCACCTGGACCTCTTCCTCCTAGCAGGTTTTCAGCTATTGAAGGACACCTAACAAATCTCACTCTCTGAAAAGTATCTTTTTAAACCAAAGTGAGCTCTGGTACAGCCCACCCTTCAACACCCATCTCTGCCTATTGAAACTCTATCTATCCTTCAATGCCTAGAGCAAATGTTGCCTCCTCCAAGCAGTCTTCCTTGATCCCCCACAGCTGAAAGTCCCCTTTCTCTCCTAAACTTCCACCACACTCTGCTCACAACTTACTCAGAGAACTCATCACATGTAGCTTTGAGAAGTTTGGGACATGTACAATAGTCAGAACAAAGGAGGTGGTCATCCTCAATGTTTTGTCTGATCAGAAGTCAGCAGCAGATTGCCTGGCTGGTGACAGCAACACACTTTAATGCAGTGCTTTCAGGATGAGGAAGCTCTAAAGGAAAGCAGCAGACCCGGCACGGGGTCCAGAAGGCACACTGTATAAGAGACTGCTGAAGAAGCAGGAGTAGTTTAACCTTTAACTCAGAAAAGAGAAAACTGGGGGTGTGGAGGTGGGTAATGGTAACTGAAGTGTTTTCCAATCTTGGAAACACTGCCATGTACAAGAGAGAGTAGGTTCCCCATGTGGATCCAAGTCCATGTGGATCCAAGATCAAAGAGAGACTCAGCTCACCATAAGGATAAGTTTTATAACAGAACTTCCCAGTAATGAACAGACTTTTCTAGAGATAGTGACCCGTCCATCACCGGATATAACCAAGCAGTGTGCCAAAACCCCATGTCAGAAAGGCAGCAACAGGGGTTCCTGCACCAGCTGTGTTAGACTAGAGGGTCTCTGGGCTCCCTTCTATGACACTCTATGAGTTCCTTGAATCAGAAATAGTTTCCTACTTTCTTCCACCCACCACATGCATGGCCTTGTTCAGAATAGGTGTTCAGTAAACATTCACTGAATTAATGAATGATTGACTGATCGAATGATGGATGAGTGGAAGACTTACGTGGTTTCTAAACAGCTCCTTTTGGTGGAGGCAACTAATAAAAATAAATTCAATTGACTTTAGGAAATGAAGAAATGACAGCCCTTCCAATCTCCCTTTCTAACCTCACTACCTCACCCAAACTTTGTAGGGGAGTTAAGAGAATTGAGGGCAAGTAAGGACAGCTTGGCTCGAGGGGAGGAGTTATTTAAGGCCACACATATAAAGCTCACTCCAAACCTCTCCATGCTTGCAATTGCTAATGTGGCTTCCCAAAGGCCCCAGCAAGAACATAAACCTGACTCAGGCTCTCTTCTTAGGCCAAAGGCATCTGGGTCCCTGTGGGCACAATGGGACATAAGAGCCCACATGGGTCTTTAAATAACACAGGAGGCCGCCTCAAATCATCCATCCACCCAGTCTGAGTGCCAGGTGTAGGCAAGCATGAGATTACAGGGACTTCAGGGAGTATCACACACAGAGTGCTGGGGGCCTTGCATGCCTGGGGTCACTGTCAAAGGAAGATGGTCTTTGGCACCACCATGGTCTGCTAGAGCCTGTCTATCCCAATAGTATCTGCTTACTGCACTCCACCCCCTTCTTCTCCCATGTTGAATTTATTTTGGACATGTTGACTTTTAGTTCACGAACTACCAGAAAACCTGTATTAAATACTCCCCTCCAAGGGGAGTTTTCCCTTTAAAATCTTTGGTCTCTGTCCCTAAGGGTCATTTGGGGAGCCCAAAGTATCCTCTTCTTCCAAGTTAGGGAAAGAAAGGCAATACCAGCTTTGGTCCTCAGTCTAAAAATCCATGGTCCCACAGAGAGTCATGACCCTTGTCTATGCTATGGTATAAAAATCTAGCTGTTAATTGTTTGTCTGAAATCTAGACAGTTCCTTAGGACCCAGCTACACTGTCGATCTCACAAACAGGTAGTTGCCAGAGCTATGCAATGTAACAATATCTGAGACAATGCCCCAGGTCCCAAAATATATTCTGTGCCACTTGTCATCATGCCTAAAATTCAAATTAAGAATATCTGGCTTGGGCGCCTGGGTGGCTCCCTCGGTCAAGCATCCGACTCTTGATTTCAGCTCAGGTCATGATCTCAGGGTTGTGAGACTGAACCCCGTGATGGACTCCACGTTGAGTGTGGAGTCTACTTAAGATTCCCTCCCTCTCCTGCTGCCCCTCCCCACTCATGCTCTCCCTCTCTAAAAAAATTAAAATAAATAAATAATGTTTGGCTCTTATTTTTTTAAGAATATTTGATTCTTGATAACTTTTCATTCTTTAAGAGTCACATTCTTCAAGTGCCCCTGAGAAAGAGAATATAATAATTCCACTGTTACCTAAGACTTAATGCAGGACCTATATATAATATGTTTTATATATATATATATATATATATATATATATGACTATGTGCATATATAAAATACATAATAAATATAATATAATATAAATTACAGAGGTGGGTGGATGATAGGGATAGGCAAGGAAGTCTCCAAGACAAGTTTTGCCATCTTCAAAATTCTAACTAGAGTTGGTGTCACTGTGGAGCAAAACATTTCCTCACTCTCCATATGTCTTGCATTGGTACATAAAGTATGGATTCTGTCCTTTCAGAACCATTAGGAGGAGAGCGCTTACCCTTCCACAACCCACTCCGCCTCTCTCAGGCATGCATAGCCATGCTAACCTCTTCATGGGAGAAGCAGTGATTTCCCAGACTGGTGAGATAAATGCAGTCTGTCACCCACTGGTCTCTCTGTCCCTTTGCTGAGTGATGTGAGGTTGGTATCAATCTTGTCTTGCCCCCATTTTCTCTCTTTGGGGCTAGTACTTCAGCATGGGCACTCTCCCTTCCCGTTCCTGTCCTCCACGTGGTGGACCACCTGGATAAGGTGCCTGGCTAGACCAAGAAGCTTCTCTGTCTCTACCATTCAGACATGATCTGTGGAGACAGGAATTCACCCGCGGACCTGATGAAGGGTCTATGCAGCAGACACAACCCCCCATGAACAGGTCCTAAGGTCTACACTCGGAGGCAGCTAGGAAGAGACCAAATGGCAACCACTTGCTCCAAATCGTGTTCTCTGATCCAGCATTACTGATATATTTGGTTCCTTCCTGATGCCTTTTCCTACTTCTCTATTTATTACCAACTAGGACGGGGGAGCAGTGTGATTAGTGTGGATATCATCCCAAGAGAGAAACACTAACATTTCATCTCATAAAAAGAAATAAATTGACTCAAAATGGCAATCTGTCAAGATGACATTTGAAGCACATGTTGCAAATTCCCACATTAGTAAACTCCACAATTCAATTCATGATAGCTTGAGAGTAGCTTATAACTTGTTTCCAAGAAGCACAGATTTCCTTGAGGAGGTTTTCCTTCTCAAATCCCTCCACATTAGTTATTTCATGTTCCGTTCTGTTGGTTTTGAACTTACCATCCCACACTCACCCTCCCAAACCTATTCACCCCTAAGCAGGCTGAGGTGTTCTAGAGTTCCCAATACCTAGAATCTCTCCCATCACCCTCCCACTTCCATCACCAATGATATACTTACTGAGATTTTGATGATCTTGTCAAAAAGATGCAGTTGGGGTCCAATGAAGTCAAAGACAAAGTACTAAAAAACATAAAGTTCACTCTGACCATAAATTCCAGGCTTGCATTTAAGAACTTTATTACCGGATTAGTAGTAGATTTCTACCGTTTTAACCAGTAGCTGCATGGTCCTCAGTGGCAATGGATATACCATAAATCAATTGGCCATCCCCTATTTAGGGTCACCTAAATTCTTTCCAATTTTTTTTTTTCAAATGCAAAAAAAAATGCTGTCATCTCCATCTTTGCACAGGATATATGTGAATTTTCCTCTAAAATGGACATAAAATGTGCAATTATCGGGTCATGGCTTATGTACATGTAAATATCTAGTAGCTAATATGAAATTTCTTTCCAAAGGGGCCAAGCCATTTTACATGCTTACTGGCAGCATACGAAAAAGCCATTTCCCCATACCCCTGCCAACCCTTGATATTGTCAATTCTCTTAATTTGTTGGCCTATAAATAATGATGGGTGAAAAGCAGAGTGTGGTTTTAATTTGGGGTGAGCTTGATTAAAATCTTATTTTCTCAGGATTTTTCAGTTTCAAACATCTTTGTGGCCGTTCCTAAGATTGACCAGGAAGAGAATGAAAAGAAATTATGGACAAGGAGGGCTTCTAATTTTAAGAAAGTGATTGAATTTTAGAGTTGAAGAAATTCTCTAGACCAGTCTCTATACTCTACAGATAAGAAGACTGAAGACCAAAGGATTTAAAAGACATGCCTGGATTCAGACAGCTGGTTATTGCTGAGCCTGAGAGCATGGCTCAGTTCTCCAGAAGTTATCACACAAGGGTTCAAGTATAGATGTTTCACCATTTGAACTTTACCCAGTACCTCCCAAATGTGAGGTAATATTCTCCTAAGATGTAGAACACTGGGATGGTGTTTTGTTGTAGGTTGTGTCTTTTGGGGACTGGTAGGGGTGGGGGAGGCAGGACCAGGAAGTTGTTTTGTGTGTTGTTTTTGAGCTTTAGGGTGGAGGAATAACGCAAGGACCTTAGAGATGAAGAGGACAGCAGTAGGAAAGGGAGGACTGACTGCTCACAGCCTGGTTTTAAAGGGCAGAACAACAAAACCAAAATGTGGAAATTGAAAGATGCAATTATACATCATAGAAACCTTCAAAATGGCAGTCCCTAGATATCAATGACAGGCCACATTACATTTAATGTCTTCTGTTTAAGAAAATGGGAAAATACACATGATATTTCAGGAAGTTTTTCATATATATGTTCAAACTTTTAAAGAGTTGTGTTGTTCAGAATTTCTTTTATGTGGAAAACTCACATGAAATTCCTCATTCGGATATATGAAATGCTGTGAGTTCCTTGGGTCAATAAATTAGTTCCAATGTTTATTGTTTTTTGCTGAGTTTCACATTTCATTTTTTTTTTTAATTTTATTATGTTATGTTAGTCACCATACAATACATCGTTAGTTTTTGATGTGGTGATCCACGATCCATCGTTTTCGTATAACGCCCAGGGCTCCATGCAGTACGTGCCCTCCTTAATACCCATCACCGGGCTAACCCATCCCCCCACCCCCCTCCCCTCTAAAACCCTGTTTGTTTCTCAGAGTCCATCGTCTGTCATGGTTCATCTCTCCCTCCAATCCGCCCCCCGCCTCATTTTTCCCTTCCTTCTCCTAATGTCCTCCATGCTATTCCTTACATTCCACAAATAAGTGAAACCATATGATAATGGACTTTCTCTGCTTGACTTATTTCACTTAGCATAATCTCCTCCAGTCCCATCCATGTGGATGTAAAAGTTGGGTATTCATCCCTTCTGAAACTCAATTGCCTCACACAGGTTCCCTAGACCTTTGAGCCACATACATTTTTCTAGCTGGAAAATATTCCCCAGCCCCTATTAACTGGTTCCTTCAACATCTGATGGCCCTTGGGCTTGAAAATTAGGGTCAAAAGCTGTAATAAAGGTTTTCAGTTCAACTTCTATGTTTCTACTTGAAAGTCTACTGATGACACGTAGGCCCAGTTTCATGTCATTTAGACCCAGGACTTGTATGCATAAAGAAAATACGAATTATAACATTTAACAAATCTGTAGAGCTTTGCAGTTTTAAAGCACCTTCCTACACATTATTTCATGTCGCATCCATGCCAAAGTTGTTATGGAGGTGAAGGTAGGATGGGAAGGAAAAACCTCATGGTAAAAGGCTCAGAGGCAGGAGTGATGGATAATGAGGAAAGGAGTTAACAGATCAAATGGGATTTGGTTATTTTCTGTTTTCATTTTCCATGGTCTCCCTTTTCAGTTACTACTCCCATTAGGCAAATAATTAAGAGTTTGCTGCATTTTTTGCATAACATTTAGAAGCTTCCTGTCTCTCTCCGATGTTTTTCTCTTTGATGCTCACGATTTTTACACTGCTTAGAAAAACCCATCTGCTTTACTTTCCAAAGCAACATGCCTATTTCAAAATTAATAATTAAATTTCTAGTGTTTCTTTCGTCAAAAAGATGTTTATCTTCTTCATCACCAACACTCAATACATTTATTGAACTTAAAGCCAGAGCTTATAATGGATGAAGATGAGCATATGAGAAATAAGAAAATGGGTATATTGAAAACACAGCAATGAATTTAAAATCAGTAGGAACTCCTTCCGTCTCCTTTTCATCATCTTTTTGTGAAACTCTATGGGGCTGTTTGTAAGGAGGCTCAGAGGGTTTGCCAAGGCTTAGATGAGTTGTGGGAAGCAGTGAGGAGGGGCACAGCTTTCCTATTTGGCTACCGCTACCACAGATGGGAGTGGAGGGAGAATTGGGGGGGGGAAGATGTTGGTGACCTCCATGACTTACTTCATTGTAAAATGGGCTGTTGGTTCCTTCCTTCACTGTGCTTTGCTTCTTCTCATCCCCGACCTCAATGATCACAACTGGATCAAGGTTCTCACCCACCAGCTGGCGGGCCTCAGTGATGGTGATGGCAATCTACAACACAAAGCAGCATGTATGCACTCTGGATCTTGCTGTTTGTTTACATGAGAAGAACTGGGGGAGGCTGGGCAGGAGGAGTCATTCACTTACTTGATAGTTTTGGGACCTGACCTCCCCATCATGGATCTTAGTCAACAGTTTTGATCTATTAAAAGAAAGTTTAATGTATTTGTTTCATTAAGTAAGAACATATTTTAGATCCATAAGCCATGATAATATTTTCCCAGGTATATCTAAGTAGTTTTATTAATACTGTATCACATATTCTCTCTCCATCTCTGGAGGAGATAAATGTAAATAAACAAGTGACTTAACCTCTCTATGACTCAGTTTCTCCATCCTAAAAGTGGAACTAATAATAGCACTTACCACATGAGGTAATTGCTACAAGTGAATAATATAATGCATGTAAAGGTTTAACTCAGTGCTTGGCAAGAATAAATGTCAAAAACAAACAAACAAAAAAAACAAAAAAAAGAATAAATGTCAACTCTTATTGTGAGTATGATTAACAGTATCATTTATTTTTTATTTTACAGAATGAGAAACTGAGATGCCTCAGCAAGTCAGTGGCAGAGCTGGGTCTACATAAAGATCTCCCTTATCTCCTGTCTGATCCTATCCACAAGACTTCTTTGCCATTTCTTTTTTTTTTTTTTAAGATTTTATTTATTTATTTGAGAGAGAGAGAAACAGCATGACAGGGGAGAGAGTCAGAGGGAGAAGCAGACTCTCCGATGAGCAGGGAGCCTGATGTGGGACTTGATCCCAGGACTCTGGGATCATGACCTGAGCCAAAGACAGTCGCTTAACCGACTGAGGCACCCAGGCACCCCTTTGCCATTTCTAGTAGATATAACAACCCTGAGTTTTGTGATTGCTTTTGCAAGAATTAGTAAAAGAGAAAATTGGAAGGAACAACCTAGATGCCATCTCAGTGAGATTTCACATTCCAGGGGATTTCATTTATCTGGACTATCATAAGTAATTGGAAACAGATGTGCAACACCTGGGTATTTAGAAACTGATAATAGTAGAAAGAGGTGAGGAATCCCTGTCGTCACCAAGGCAGCAATGGGTGGAAAATGAATAAGCTTGAGTTCCTATTGAATTTTATTCTCTTGCCTTCTGACAATACCGTCTTGCATTTGACTTCATCCCATTTTGGTGATTGTAATTGAGTCTAATAGAGAACAGAGTGAGCTAGTAAAAAATCTCAAAGCTTTGGAGTCAGACTGATCTGAATTCAAATATTTGTTTTTCCCAATTTTGTGATGTTATGCTTAATTTCCTCATCTGAAAGTGGAAATAATAATTCTGACCACATAGCGTTGCTCTAAGGATTAAAGGAGATAATGCATGTAGCAAAGGGTAGATATCAAAAGGTATATATGTTCATTAATAAAATGGCAAATTCATACTGACCATTTTCTGTGTGAAAGTGCTTTCCTGGTCTCAGAGGATAAACAGGTGAATGACCTAGCAACCTGGCCCTTGCAGAGCTAGCAATGTATCCCAGGGAGAGAGGACAAAGGCATATCAAGAAAGAACTAGTAAATGTAAAATGTGTTGTAGAAAAAAAAGTGTGATACAAGTTCAAAGAAGAGAGACATTCCTGAGAGTCCAGGTAAGCAACAAAGACTTTACTGCAGAGATTAGATGTCACTTGAGCATTAGTTGGTGGGTAGAATTTTGATTGATGCAGAATGCACTGACCAGGGAAAAAGAAAAAGTCCTCCTCCTTCCTTCTTTTTCCCCTGCCTTCCTCATTCAGTATTGTTATTCTGGTGAAATAAATCACAAGGGATCCCTTCAAGGATATTTAAAAATAATTGCAATCCTGATTCGGGGGACTCGGGGGGCCACGATTGTCATGGTGCCATATAGGGAGAAGGAGATACTGCAGTGAGTATATGCATACAAATTTCATGTCTCCTTTTAAGAGTCAGCCTTTCAGCTATCACCATCTCTGATTTCCAGCTGTTTCCCAACCCCCCTCTACCTCTTACACATATCTACTGTGTGCTATCCTGCCATGGCCCAGTTACAACAATTCAGGTTCTGTCACACAGGGAAGGACTAATATGCGTTATTGATAGTAAGAATTCTGAGCAGAAATAGAAGGGAAGGCGTGAGGAATTACCATGAGTGAGAAAATGACATAAACAAATATGGTAGACTGAAGGCATTGATAGCCCCAAGTATTAGTTATCTATGCTCTTTGCCTTGTAACTTGTAGTCTCTCATTCTGACATGGGCTGGACTTGTGACTTGCATTAGCCAATAGAATGCAGCAGAAATGATTTTTGCTAATTCCAAGCCTAGGCTCAAGAAACTTTGTGTACTTCCACTCTGCCTTCCTTCTCTTGAAACTCTGCCATCACCACCATTGGAATAAGCTTGGACTAGCCTGCTAGAGATCTAACACCATATGGAGGAGAGCTCAGTGGTTCCAGGTGAAGCAATCCTAGACCAGCCTACCACCAGCCAACCCTCAAACTAAAATCAGCAGAATTACCAATAACCACACACACATGAGTGATGGATGTATAACTATCTGGAACCAGTAAAGCTAACAAACTAACTCATAGATTCATAAGCAATAATAAATTCTCGTATTAAGCCTCTGAGCTTGGGGTTGTTACACATGAAGCGCTAACTGATAATAGCAAATCACATGCAAAAGGACAGTTTGTTCTGACTTTTTGTTGGGTGGTATAAACACTTGGGACAAACACAAAGCTAAGATATCTGGCACCTTGATGAAGAGCAGGTGAGGGATTCAGGTCCGGAGTCTGTCTCCTGTTGTTCCTGTCATTTCTGAATTATGAGGTACAGCGGGACCTTAACTCAGGGGATTGAAGACCAGAAGCTGGTAGAGCTGGGCCCCTGGCCTGCTGAAGGCTGACCGGTATCAAGAGGCCAGCACTGCCATAGAGGGTATGAAGTAGAGACAGACCTCTGTCTTCCTGTCTTAGACATCTGGCTCCTTGCAGACAGTGATCAGGTATTATTCTCTGTTCCCCAGAACCTGCAGAGGTGCCTGCACATGGGAGGTGCCCAGTAATGTGTGCTGACTGCCTGCACAAACACTGTACCTTCTCTTTGGAGGAGTTGAAGGGATAGGAGCGACAGATTCATGATCATGAATAAAATCTCCTCCTGGTCCTTTCTGGTGAGAAGGCCCCTCCTGTGGTGCCTCTGCTTCACTCTGGCCATCTAGAGAAGCAAACAAAGGAAGAAAACTGTCAATTATGATATACACAGAGGTGATCTGAGCCTCAACTGTCTAGCACTATGACAATCATCATAAGGAGTTCAAGGAGACTATAAGACAGTCCCTGCCAGCATGAAACTTAATATCTCATTGGCAGAAAAGAAAGGCACATACCTTAATTTTTGTAAAAAAAATATTCATCTTCTGTTTCCAAAAAAAAGAGTAGATGTATATGCATGGTAATGTGGAAAGAAAACTGGATTATGAACTTAAAGACATGCTTTCAAGTCATGACCTTGCCACAGTGGACCTTCAGACAAGTCATTTATTCCCTCTGAACCTCCTCCGTAAAAGGTAATGTGCATAAGAATCACCCGGGAAACTGTTGAAATGCAGATTCTGATTCAGTAGGTCTGAGGTGAAGGCCAAGATTCTGCATTTCTAACAGCAATGGTCCATGTAAGTCTGTTCCTGCTGTCTGAGGGCCAATTTTGAGTAGAAAGGTGTCCTAGGTTGAATTATATTTCCCGAAGACCTCAAGTCCTAGTCCCCAGAACCTGTAAATGTTACTTGGAAAAGGGGTCTTTGATTCAATTAAGGATTTTCCAATGGGGAGATTATCCAGGATTATACAGGTGGGTCCTAGTTGCAATCATATTTATCGTTACAAGAGGGAGGCAGAGGGAGAATGGAAGAATGCAATGTAATCACAAGGCAGAGATGGGCCAGACTCTGCCACCCTAGCCATCGGAAGATGGAAGAGGGAGGAATCAGATACTCCCGAGGGGGTGAGGCCCTGCCAATATTGTAATTTTGCCAATATTGTAATTTTGGCCCCGTGATACTGATTGTGAATTTCCCGCCTCTGTTACTATGAGAAAATTAATGTGGGTTATTTTAAGCCACCCAGTCTGTGGTCATTTGTTACAACAGCCAAAGGAAATGAATGCACGAGTGCCTAGAAAATTTAAATGAATGGATAGTAAACATATTCTTTAGACCTCCTCTTCCCCCACTGAGGGCTTCTGATTTAATTGATTTGGGATGTCGCCCAGATGTCCTTTTTTTTTAATTCCCCCCAGGTGATTCTAATGTGTAGCAAAGCTTAAGAACCACTTCTCAGACAGATTTTTGACAAAAACCCAAGAGTGTGTGGAATTCTCTTAGGCACTAAGAGACTGCATGGTGAAGTTCAAAACCCTGACTCCAAAGGTTGGGCGGAAATCCCAGCTCTGCCACTTTCTAATTTTATGTTTTGGGGCAAGTTACTTCATTTCTCTCAGCCCTGTCATCCTCATCTATGAAGCCAGGCAAGGCCAATGTTACCTGCCTCACAGAGGTGTTATTTTTTTTATTGTCTATTTTCTTTACAGCACTCTTCTCAACCTGTAATGCAGTTACCTACTCAGGTCTCAATAGATAAAAGAGGCTCCCCCATCCCCCCACCCAGAACAGGCTGATTTGAGGACTTTATACAAAGGTGTGGGTACAGGAAAATCACAAAGAGTTGTGCAGCTATCTGGGGCTCACAACAGCCAAGCTGTTTCTGTTTGGAGGCCCCAAAAATGAGGCAAGAGAGCAGTTACCAGAACCTGGAAGGAGAGGAAGTCAGGTCCAGTCGGCTCCTTACAACCCTTCAGTTGAGGAACACAACCAGTCACTGGATCTGAGCTCACGCTCCTCCCTCCCTCATCCTCCTGCTGGGGCGCCCCACTGGGGAAAGGACCTGGGTTCTGCATCAATACAGGTCAGCCTCCTGGGACCGAGAACAGGTGGAAAAGGGTGGAGAATTGATTTGGGAAAGGCAAACAGAAGAGTCCTACACAGGGTTATCCTCCCTCTAAACTACCCGAGGGCACTGTTCTATACCAGAATCTAGTGCAGAACCCAGCATTCAGCTTACAGTCCATTAGCATTTGTTGAGGAAATGAATGCATGGCTGATCATGGGAGGGACTCAATAACTTTGGGTAACTAATTAACGGATGGGTTAGGATCATTGGAACTTAAATTAAGACATAGCCCCTATGCCCCAAATACACAGATATGAGAGTCACTGACTTTGAGAATCTCCAAATACTTCATCCAGCAAAGCCCTAACTTCCCAGGCCAGGCCAAAAAGGAGAGAGTGTACTATGGACTTTGTTTTGTCAGTCTCCTATGGGGCAAGCCCCTGGCCATCAGCATAAATGCTATTTACTTTCTAGGAGGGGCCTGATTCCACTCTGCCCTGTTTGCTTTGTGTGCTAAAGACTCTAATTAGAATGAGCCTGGGGAGTCAGCTTCTCTGAAAGGCCTCAGGTTGACTGCCCTAAATCTCCACCAGCCTGTTCTTTCCTTCCGGGTGCAGTCCGTAGAGGCTCCTACCTGGAGGCTGACCCATGGAGTAGGAAAACCCAGGCTCTTGTATGAGATTGACCTCTGCTCAGAAGCTAGCTTCTCTACTTCTTAGCCGTGCAGCTTGGGCGAGCCCTCAACCTCTCCGCACCTCTATTGTACAGGAGCAAAGGAACCTACATTTCAGAGTCATGAATGATGCATGTCAACTAAAAAGCAGCAGGGACTTACTAAATGTGTCCTAAATATTATTTTTCATAAGGTCCTGAAAGTAAGGGACTGTCTCATTCAACCTTGTGCCCCGGGACCTACTGCAGGGTCCTAATTTCAAGGACATCAGATAAGACCTAAAAGGCTTTTCCACCTATTCCCTGAGTAGGTAACTTTAAGCCCTGTCCCCACTTAAAATGCCTCTCTCATCCCATCCAAGGATGACTTCATCGTTATTACCAACACTTTAGTCTGAATAAGTGTCCATAGATTTCCACTGTAGGTTATATGTGAGGGCAGGAAATGGAGTTGGGAGAGAGGGACCTGAAGCGACAGGGCACCCGTAGGGGGCAGCAGTGAAGGGCGAGGGAGGCCCCCCAAGGAGACGAGAGGGTTGAAGATAAAGCAGACCCACTGCACCATTTTGTTTAGAAATGGTCCAGAGAGCTGGCCTCAGCCTGGCTGTTGTCAGGGCCATTGGGCCGTGGACTCTAGGAGACCACCGCAGAACTGTCCATTGGAAGGGGTTAATCCTATCTGACTCAACAAACGTGTGTCTATCTGACGCCAGGCCTGGCCCCACTGGCACAGTTCACACTGTAACTTGGGGATTCATTTGCTCCTTTGAAGAAGCAAGTAGCCCATTCTGAGGACACAAAGTCAGAGAGCCGGGACTGACATCCCAGGGCTGCTCACTGCTTCCTGGCCTGGGCTCTGGGTCTCAGGGCCCATTCTGAGCTTCGCGCAACCACACAGGGTCCTGTGATCCGAAGGATCTCATCGCACTTGGCTCAATACTCTGCTATTGCCATCCAGAAACTTAATAATTTCTTAACAATGGCTTTGCATTTTCGTTTTCCACGGTGCCCTGAAAATTCAGTAGCTGTCCTTCCCACACTTCACTTACTCTCTCTGCATCTCTACAACCTCCTTCGTAAATCTGGGATAGCAACACCCACTTGTTGGATGATGGCGGGGTCAAATGAGACAATAAATGTAAAGCTTCCCCTGTAGCAGCTGCTGTCCTCACTCGTATTTTTAAAATCTCAGTGGATCCTCCCCAAGGCGTGTGAGGTTGGCCCAGCAACCCCCATCGTGCCCACTTGCCAGAGGGAAAAGCCGAGAATCACAGCTGTGTTGTGAGTCCTGGACCACAGAGCAAATCAGGACAGAAACAGGAGCTTAAACCTTGCCACTGTCTCCCCTTGGGGTCCCCTTCCACGGCCCAACAGGTGTCTGCCCCACCCCTGTTGGGCCCAGGGACCAGATGACCAGCAGCACTGGGGCGGACGCCATACCTGTGACTGGAAGGGCCCGAAGACACAGCAGGCAGCACACTTCCCACCTCACTCCCACGGAGGGAGAGCTCCATTCTCAGCCAAGGAGGGCTCAGCTCTGTGAGACCCGTAGGCCCCAGGGTAGTGCATTTTCCCCACCCCCAAAAGCCTCACCTGGAGCAGCCTTATTGGCTAGGATTAACCCCTTTTCTGCTTTCTTCTTCTTCTTCTTCAGCTTGAGCCCAAACATCCCCTTTCTGAAAAGAAGAAGAAAAACTAAATAACACTGTAATAGTAACTTCGAGGAATTCGGACATATAAGGAGGAAATACACACACACATGCACGCACGCGCTGATTTCTCCTGGAAGCTGACCAGCCTCCTCTTCCACCCTGGATGGGGATCAAAAGACCAGTGTCAGGATGACCCAACAAGCTCTTCAGACAGCTCTACATTTGCAGAAACCATGAAGCCCCACCAGAAATTATGGGTTCCACCTAGAATTTAAATGGGGCAGAATATGAATGCAAAGAGCCAGTATTTTGCTGTTTCTCCTCGCTTACCTGTACCAGGTACTCAAAATGAACGACATCACTTAATCATCACGGCAACCCTCTCTTGCCCATCTTATAGATGAGAAGGCAAGGCCCAGAGAGGGTAGGTAGTGTTTCTGAGGTCACACAGCTCTGAGCATCAGTACCACAGGAACCCAGGTCCTAACCGTTGGATGGCCTGAGCAGGTTACCCTGTGCAGAGTTAACACCCTTTCCAGAGCCAGGGTCCCAGGCCATTTCAAGGTCAAGAGACCCTGGGACTCACTGGGGTCCCACCACTAGTGCAGAGCTCAGCACACACACGGTCTGTGCCCGGAATATCAGCTACTATTATTGTTGTCATTATTAGCTGTGAGCAGAAGCTACTTGGGGTCTCCTTCTATCCCAGGAAAGGGCTTGCTCCTCTGTCTTAACAGACAACAGAAGCATTCCGCACACTCCTGAGAGAATCCTTTTCTGGAGCTGAGGGACTGAACGCTGGATGGAAGGGTGGATGGACCCAGTTCAGAAGAAAGTCCTGGCCTTGAGTCAGGCAGGCTGGTGAGCTGACCCTTGGAGGCTGGAGAAGGAAGAACAAAGACAGAACAGAGGAGAAGGAGGAGAGAGCAGCACCCCCCCCCCCGCCCTAGGAACACCCTGCAGTCCCATTGGTGTTGTCTGAACAATGAAATAGACTGCATTGAGTGGGAGTGAGTTCCCTGTTCCTGGAGGTGTACAAAGGCCAGCAACCACTGGAAAAGGACGTTGTAGAGACAACAAACATCAGAAGAGGGGGACTGGCTATGGGATTCTGGGGGTCCTTTAAGACCTTGAGATACAGTAGAATGGAAAAATGGGCTCTGGAAGCCCCCAGACATGGATGGATTGGGCGAATCACAGTACTTCTCTGAGCCTCAGTTTCCCTGTGGGTACAAATTTATGGAAATAAATAATAAGGTACCTAACTTTACAGAATTGTGAGAATAAAATGAGGTGAAGTAAGCAAAGTACTGAGGGCAGTTCCTGGTATATAGAAAGTGCTGGAATGTGCCCTTTTTGGAGGTAGCATTTTCCCCTCTTTGAATTTGCCATCATCTGTGATGCAAATCATTCTAGAGTCTCCCAAGAATCTCAGGAGAACATACACAAGGAGGATTTTCCTCTTCTGGAATTTCTTGAAGGCAACTTCCAATAACTTTTCTGTTTCCAAAAGAGAGTTACCAAGCAGAGGGCCAAGGTCAGTATCTTCTAAACCCTGACTTGCCATTGTGGTCTCCAAGGGCTCAATGCCACGATCATTTTGTGGAGGCAGAATCTGCTGTCCCTTGGGACTTGGCCAATGGGTTCTGCAGACTATTTGAAAAGGCTGAGTTTCTTCCAACAGCAAATAGGAAGTCACTACTAATAAATGACAGTATCTACCACAGGGAGACTCGATGCTCCTGTAGGAAGCTGACATCCTCATCACAGATGGCCTCAGCATTCTGAATCTTCCATCGGGCAGCCAGCGACTGAGGCATTAAAGCATGCCTGAGGCGACTGGCGAGGGCAGAGGCAGAGAGAAAAATGGGTACCCCTGTCCCTCTGAAACCAGGAGCTCTTGGCCCTGTTGACCAGTAGGGGCACCTCAGGAAGTTTAAAGGATACCAATGTCTGGAACCACTTTCAGAGATCTGTAATTGCTTTGGAGAAAAACAAGTGCTGAGAAGCCCTGCTCTAGGCACAGCTCAGACCCAGCTACCAAGGAAGCCAGAGAGCCTTTTGCAGTAATGCCCAGTGGATTTACAACCAGCTCAGCTCTCCTGGATGGGTTGATATTTGTTCCACAAACACACAAGGTTGTTTGCCTGAAACCCTGAGTCAGTCATCAAGGGCACTCCCAGCGTGACTCCCAGCGTGACTCCCAGCATGAAAGGCTTCTTGATGAAAATTGATTTTTTTCCTCCTCAGCCCCATGACATCTGCAGTAGAGAGAAGTCATGGCTCACCAGTCCAGAATAATCATGCTGCTGGGAGACTGGGCAGCAGAAAGCGAACTGGAGACAGAAGACAGCTCACGGGCCTGCTTGCATCACCCATTAGCTCTCCAATTTAGGACCATGTTTCATTCCCACATGGGCATTTCTTACCCAGTTCATACGGTGGCATCAAAACAGGAAACAAGGCTGGTAAAGTGTAAAATGTGCTACAAAATACTGTATTACAACACTGATGACAAGGAAATGTGCTACAATACTCCCCTGAGTGAGTCCAATATTTTTTAAACATGTATTAACGCTCACTTTGTGTCAGGAGCACCATTTGACACACACTGTCTCCTAGTATTCTCACAACATACCACAAGACAGATGCTATTATTTCCCCTTTTTACAAATGAGAGGTTGTCAGGGGTTTCCAGCCAGTGTACTGGGGTCAGCCAGTAAATCAGGAAGCAAGTCCCCAGGGCAGCAGCCATCAATCCCCTTTCTCCTTCTCAGTGTGCTGAGGATTCCAGCATGGGAACCCTCCCACTTCACAAAAAAGGATGGGGCTCGCTTCAGATCTACTGAATTCCCTCGCAGGTCCACCCCAAGGTAAGTCAAGACACACAGAAACCCCCGTACCAACCTGGTCTTCTCAGGGTGAAAGCTACCATGACTCCGATATCTGTACCCAAACAATGAGAGTGTTAAACAGTGCGCGTGTCAGGCTCCCTGCAGCACCTCTGTTCCAGGTGATGTCACTCCAGGTGGCCCCATAGGGAAGGCAGCCAGCCTGGCACACAGAAGGAGGAGCTCGATAGAGTTTGGGTCTTATCTCTACCATTTCTAACTATGCTGGTGGGGCTGGCCACGGGACCTCTTTGAGTTTTCAGGTTCCACTTCCACAGGAAGTGGCAATAAAGTGAACTCTGCTCTTCTCGTGGGATGTTATGTATATGACCTCACTGAGTGCTCATGCTGCATTGTTAGGAGCTCTACAAATAATTAATGTCAACTTATATCCATGGCTTACTGGCACCAGGATCGGGAAATGGCTCACAATTAGGGTCTCCATGTGGTTCTCCACTTGCCTCACAAAATTCCCTTTCTGGAATCACCTTTTCTACCCTCAATATGGAGTAGAAGCAGCTCAGGCCAAGCAGCCAAACACTAAGCTAATTGAGTCAATGGGTGTGACCAGGACTAGCCCCTGCTGCTCTCCTCCCACCTAAGAGGATGCAGATTGCAGGTCATCTGTGCACCTGACCCTCCAAACCCAGAGTCACGACATCCAGTGTGGAAAAAAAAAAAAAAAACACTTTGATTTGTGGATTTATGTATATGGTAAACACTTATAAACTTTAAAATTCCTTATTAAAAAAAGGGATTTTTATGTAATCAGGACCACCTTAAAAATAAAGCAAAACCAAGATTTACCACCATTCTGAGGTTATCCAGAGAGCCTTGGATAGATTCCCAGCTGCCTACTGAGGAATCTGCTCTGTGTACTCATCTTACTTTTAAAACTGGGTTATATTCATTAAAGGCAAACCACCAAATATAGAAATAGCCATAATGTGGATTTTGACTAAAGACAGTTAAAATGTAAATCCATGGGACCTCCTGCCTTGCCAAGACTGAAATGTTTCTTCCTCTCTCTCCATCATCTTCCTATAACAACTTGCCTGCTCTATATCCTATTTCTTTAGGCAATGATGCCCAAATTTGGTTATACATCGGACTCATATGGGGCACTTTCTAAAACAGTCTCCCACACTGCGGCCAGATCCCATCCCAGAGAGTCTGATGTCCCTGATGAGCAGTGAGGCCAACGCTCAGCACTTTTCAGATTCCCAAGGTCGTTCTAATGTGCAGCAGTGTTGCAAATCCCTGTATATAAGTAATTAGTGCCAGAGAGCTCTCTTCCCAAAGAGAAGGTGTATGGTTTTTAAGGGAAATTCAAAGACAAATTTTCATCCAAAGCGGGGGAGGGCTGTGAAATTTAGGAAATTCAGAGCACTTGGTGAATATATTTGTAGGCTGGACTTTATCATCCTACCCCAGTTCCTCTTCTACTCAACCCCCATCCTGGCAATTAGCCCACAGAATTGGTCACCTTCTCTACTATGCACAGGATCAACCCAAGCTTAGAGGAACTGACTCCTCCAATCTGAAAGAGCAGGATCAATCCTCTATTTGGGTCCAAAGTGTCCCAGACAATGGCCTGAAGAGACTGAGCACTGACTCCCAATTTCATGAGAACCAGTTCGATCCGGGCTACTACGATTTGCCATCTCCTCCCTCATTGCAGCAGTAAAGGAATGTTTCCCTGTTAGGCTCTCATTTTGTTCATTCCAGCCTCAGTGGCCATCATAAGGAGATTCAGATGTCAACTCCACAGTCACGGAGAACCTCAATATTGCACCTGCAAGAGTCAGCGGAGTCAAGGAAATGCACCTCCGAGGATGCTAATGAATCCCTCCTCCTGTGGTTTCTCTGAACCAAGGATGACTCAGAAATACTTTGGAGCCACATCATGTAGAGCCTGCCTGTTTCAGCCAGCCTCTGACAGCCCTTCAGAGACTTTGCCAGTGTTCAAGGACAAGGTGGTAGAAGGCTGGTGCTGTAGGACTGCCCCAGGAAAAGGGGGATTTTCCCCTCACATGCATCTCGCCCACCCTGCAGCATGCTGACGGGCCAACTACTGACACCTTTTTCAACCTATGGCCACTGGCCTCCAACCTCTCCTGCTCCTC